CCTCCCCCCCCGGTAAATATCGTACAGTCCCTTACTTGATTCTGAACCAGAATCTTTCTTTTTTTTTTTGCAAATCAGAAAAAAACGAAGAGGCGAATCCGTGAACCAACAAATTAAATTGGTGTGGCCTAATCTTTATACAGAGCAAGCAGTGTGAGGTGTTTGGTGTTTGCATAAATGTTTTGGAACTGTATATAGTAGAGGATTGCATGATGGCATTTACCAGACTACATGCAGTACTATCACTTTCTGTCAGGGGGCGCAACTACATGTGACAGGGTCGGACTGCTTTTTCCACTCCGCTATCCGGTCGTTTTTTCCACCAACCATGATGTAACCCTCACCTGGAAGTACCAGTCCAGTCTGGACTGCTTTTTCCACCCCCCTAACTGGACCAGTTTTTCCACCAACCCTGATATAACCTTCACCTAGAAGTGATGATAGAAACAAAAATACAGTTGCAGTCAGGAAGAGAACTTTGGAAATGTAACTTTTGTGATTAATTTTAAGTTGATTATGAAGCAAGTTTGAACTGCAAGTCAGTCAAAAATTTAGAATAGTTTGTAAAGTTTGTTTGGTTCTTTTCAGGTACCTGAGTTACAGTGGAAGGCACCAGTCCAGGAACACAGGCCTTGTCTCAGTGCAGCTGTATGGGAACCATGTCCCTCCTAAAGTCTCACACATCACATTTGCACACGAAGTCGGGCACAGCTGGGGATCTCCGGTAAGCCTTTGACAGGTCCCAAATATGCAAATTAGAGACATGCAAATGTGAGGAGAATTATATTGATGCTTAATTGACATGCCACAACATTTGTATGTTAGGAAGTATTGGACTTGTAGTTGATATTCACTTTGAGACATTGCAGTTCATGTTCCTGATTAACTCGTCAAAAGGAGCATTCTGTATCTGTATCTGTATAGCTGGTATAACCTCCCTTTGGTGTAACACACCAGCTTCGCAGGCACGCGGCGTGGCGGCAGCTGGCTACATTACACCAAATGACTTGTTACACCTAACCCTTGAACTTCTGACTCGAGACATTGTTTAAAGCTATCTAATGACAATGTCCCTACTGTACTTGTGACAGCGAGTTCCACTCTGCGATAGTTCTAGGAATGAATGAATTCTTGAACACCTTAATCCTTGGTTGATAACCCTGGTACTTGAAGGCATGGCTATTTCTTGTTCTCTTCTGGGCTGGTATTAGGTACTTAGTAGTTGGGACGTTCACCAGATTATTAGTCCTTTTGTACATCGTGCATAGTCTGGACATTTTTCTTCTGTCTTCCACTAAGTTCCAGTGACACCCACTGTAGGTTTCTTTTCATTTCCATTAGCACCCCTGTCGTAGTTGTTCATACAGTTTGTTAGCTAACCCTTTTCTATAGCTTTATGTTTGAGATGTTAACTTCATAGCTGATTTTAACTCCTGTTTGTAGCATGACCCCGAGGGTGCGTGCTCCCCTGGCGGTGAGCTGGGGAACTACATCATGTTTGCCCAGGCCACGTCTGGTGACAAGTCCAACAACAACAAGTTCTCCTCCTGTAGTATGGACAGTATCCGCCGAACAGTCGGGTCTAGGTCACAGAGATGTTACAAAGGTGAGTGTAAAATCATTGTAGATTTGGCGTGGCGTAGAAGTGGCGTCTGTGTGGTGTAGTGGTAGAGCATCCGACTGTCAAGCAAGGGGACCCATGTTCAATCCCCAGGGTTGGACCCAGACATGTCAGGACTTGCACCCACACGTTGTGCTCTTGTGCCCACATGTATTTCCCCCCTCAGTTAGAGGGTGCCTGGGCCCTACTAGGGTTTGGGTTGGCGTTAGGAAGGTCATCCAAAAATCTTGCTCAAAAAAAAAGACTTGTATTTGATGCAAGCACGTCTAACCCCCGTTTCAGGGAAAAATGATATTAAAATTGGATTTAAAAAAGAAGAAGTATTTTATGATGCGTGGCAGGGCTTGAAATCCATTTTTGGGATAAGATGCACTCAGGTGTACCTAACCTAAAAATCTAGGTGCGTAAGAAAAAATTTTGGATGCAAAAATCCATAAATAAAAGGAAGTAGAATGTCAGCAAAACATAATTACAAAGTTAAACCGTGATAAATTTGATTCAATAAGCTAATTTCAAAATATACATGTGTACAAACAATACACAAATATCTAGGTGCACCCACTGCTCAAGAATAGGTGTAGAGTGCTAATTTCAGATGCAAAAAAGTACATACATATGTAAAGTTTTTTGAGCCCTGTGTGACAAATGCAATAAAAAAAGATGATAGTTTTATATTTGACACAATGTTTTTTCCTGTTGTTCCCTCCATGTAGCTGCTGACACTGCCATCTGTGGTAATGCTATAGTAGAGGATGGGGAGGAGTGTGACTGTGGTTACCAGGACCAGTGTGATAAGATGGGAGATGCCTGCTGTAACGGCCAGTTTCAGGAGGGCTCTGGCATCGCATGTACCCTCAAACAGGGCGCAACCTGCAGGTAGTATTCTTCATAGCTGAAAAGACTTTGAACTAGAAAGGCTGACATTTGCTTTGGAGCAAATGTAGCGAATGGCTTTGCCACATTTTACGACATGGCATGGAAAGAAGGAGAAACACAGGGGAAAACAATTCTTTACATTGATATAACTATAGTATGAAGTGACAACAGTTGGATAGCTATCCCTTACATTATTGGTCAGGATTTTTAATTGCATAACGCAAATTAATGATTTTCAAGATAAAAAGAAGCCATAAAATAAAACCATTCTAAAAGCCTGTATCACAAAAATGAAAAAAAAATACCTGGGGGTATTTGCTAACTCTACCTTCATGCCAAATTTCATGTTATTTGACCTAAAAATGAAGGAGTTGAATCAATTTAAAGAAATAGCAGGAAAAGGAGGAGAAGAAGAAGAAGGAGAAACATGAAGAAAAACAATGTATCTTCACCACATAGTGGTGAAGCCATAAACATCAATGAGTATACCTTTTTCTAAAAGTAATATTTATTGTATCTTATTCTGACTTGTATTCTCCCTCCAGCCCTAGCCAGGGAACGTGTTGCAACACAACGTGTACGTACAACCCCAGCTCGTTCCAGTGTGCAGATGAGAGGGAGTGTGCCCACAAGTCCTACTGTTCTGGTGTCAGCTCTTCCTGCCCAGACCCTGCTCCCAAACCTGACCTCACCACCATGTGCAGCGAAGGGACACGGGTATGCCTGGATGGGGTGAGTCATTTTACTGGAAAATTGGCTTTTTTTTTGTGGTAGAAATTTTTTTTTTTGTGGTAAAAATTTTTTCTGTGGTAGAAATTTTTTTTTTGTAGAATTTTTTTTTGTGGTAGAAATTTTTTTTGTGGTAGAAATTTTTTTTGTGGTAGCAAATTTTTTTGTGGTAGAAAATTTTTTTTGTAGTAGAAAATTTTTTTTGGGTAGAAAGTCCAACAATAGACTTTAGTGCTAAATATTGTTCAATGTGGAATGTACGCTCAAAATTCTAGGAATGTCTGCTAAATCTAAGATAAATATACGCTTGAAAGACGAGGGATGTCCGCTTTCTAAGATAAGTTTACTTTTTCCAGAACGAATGTCCAGGTTCGACTGGTTGGGCCCAGGGTGTTGTTAAAACTTTTGATTTTTCTAGCCTGAAAACCTGCTTGTATGTTTTCCAGCAATGTAGTGAGTCGGTGTGCCGCCGGTATGGGTATGACAGATGTGAGTGTAAGAGGAACGCTGATGGCACAAACGAGGAAGAACTGTGCCACGTGTGCTGTCAACAGCAAGGTGAGGTTCATTGTAAAGGGTACAACAAGATATCATGGTTTCCAATGATACATAATACTTGCTACAGGGCTCCAGCCAGCACCCATTTTTTCATCAATTGCAGGAACTTCGCAGCGTGTGATGGAAAATTTTTTTTAGACCAATTCGTCAGCCTTGATGGACGAAATTGACAAAAATCTTCGGAAAAATAAATAAAAACGGTCATCCAAAGGACCACCAACAAGCACTCTCAACCCCACAATTTGCCACTCAATGTGGGGAAATTGCATTGTTATTGAAAAGGCTTGAAAGTCCAAAATTTGCCCCTAGACCCCCCTAAAATGTGAGCACTCTCTTCCAAGGTCCAATCAGGAACCTGGGCTGACGGAAAAAAAATTTGAGCTGGCTAGAGTCCTGACTTATATGCACATCTTAATTTTCTTTTTTTTCTTTTCTATGTTGTGTGGGGAAAGAGATAGTGATAAAAAGTGATCTATATCACCTGGAAGTGTTTTGTCTTCCCCTCTTTTTTTACTTTTTTGTGGAAAATGAATAAACAAACTGTCAAACATTTTGTAGGACAACCAGAGACGTGCCGTAGCAGCAAGTATTTCCCAGAGTTCAGCTCAGAGTCCCCCCTGACCCTGGAGCCGGGTAGTGTGTGTGACGACAACAAGGGCTACTGTGACAACCTCAACCGCTGTCGGGAGGTCGACATCGACGGTCCGCTGGCCAGGATCAAGAAACTGGTGCTGTACGGGGCTTCTGATTGGGCCAAGGTAACCATTCAGTTTACGTGATTGTGTTATCTGTGAATAGTTTCATCAGGTTGGTAAGACACAGAGTAAAGAGACTCTTTTTACACAACCAAGTCTTTTATTCAGCTGACGTTCCCTGTAACCATGCATATGTGTAGCAGGGCTCGAAATTAAAGGTGGCTCAATGGCCACTGACCACTAAAATTTACACTGGGACAACTGAAAGGACACTTTGGGACATTGTTGGGACAACAGAAAATAATCAACATCAGAATGTCAGCTCTTTTTTTGTTTATCAGGCACACGTCCTAGATTTTGGATCCGGAAAAGTCCCCCGAATTTCCTGTCTACTCTGCAATTATAGTGTGCCTGGAAGTGAACATAAGCAAAATAAAGTTGACTTCAAGTTGAAGTCCTGGAAGTGAACATAAGCAAAATAAAGTTGACTTCAAGTTGAAGTCATACAATATTTCCCCAAAAACAGGTTGGGACAGTTCATCCTCTTGGGGACAATTGAAATTTAATTTTGGGACAGTGTTGGGACAAGAGGAAGAAAAGTTAATTTCAAGGCCTGTGTAGATATGTAAATATTGTACATTTGGGAATGCATCTGTAGCAGCGACACCTGTGCTGCAGTGCAATGTGAACCAGTCAGAATTGCCCTGAGGAAGGTGACAGAAGGTCACTGAAATGTCGGCTGAATAAAAGATGTGATTGTGTATTACTAAACAGAGTCTCTTTACTCATTGTGTTTTTATGTCACTCCATATTGTACTAGGCCATACTTATTTGATTATATGTCCATTATATGCTATATATATGATGAATATGTTAGTGGGTGACTTCACTGACTCATTTATAATTTTTTGTTGCATATTCATCTTGTTCTTACACTCATTTATATGTAGAATATTTCCATGATGTTTGTTTCATGTTTACTCATTGCGTAGAAAGAGCATTTTGCATTTTTTTGTTTGACAACTTTCATAGCCCTAACATACGATAAAAGCATTGTGCAGTTTTGTTTGTCGGACAATAAAACATACAATTTTTGTTCCTTTTGTAACTAAAATTACCTGACAACTAGCATATTTTCTCTCTTAGATTTTAGTCTGTAAAAAATTTATCAACATTTCACAATTTTCATTTCAAAGTTGTCATAATCATAACAACACTACTGCATGCAAAAAAAGAGAGAATAGTTTCACCATCCATCTTGTTGTATATAATGCTTGTTTGTTTGTTTGTTTGTTTTTGTTTGTGAGTCACATGTTTCCATCCAATAGACGTACTGGTGGGCGATTCTCCTGATCCTGATTGGAATTGCAGGAATTGTGACAGGGATTATCTTCTGTCTCAATGCTGTGGTTCCCAGTAGCATAGAGGCAGCCAAAGCTGAAGCCGCCGGATTGCGTTAAGAGAGAGGTCATTTGTTTTACTGACACTCGTGTGTTCGGTTTGGTGTCTGTCTGCTACATGTTGTGTAGTGCTGTGTATGGGTTCGCTGGACCAATAGACCCATTTGACTTTCACGGATCGCATAAACTGCATACATCACAGAACAAATTAATAACCTTAAATTGTTGTACAGAATGTCACCATACAAAGTTGGTGCCTGTTTTCCTGTCATTTCCGAATATATTTCCGAGAAAATAGACACTTACCTACCTTTCCGTAAAAAATGATCTGCCAGAGGGGATACCGTGAGCGCAAGCCACGTTTGACTTCAGCGTTCTAGAACGACGTTCTTTCGAAACGTCCCCCCTGTGACTTAAGCAGTTTATGCGATCTGTGAAAGTCGAATGGGTCTATTCTGGACTTGTAAAAATGTTTAGGTTCAAGTCCTAAAAAACCTTGAAGGCAAGAACCAGTTTCGGACTTATTAAAAACCCATTTTTGTTCCAAACCACCTAAAATTTCCATAGATGGCAAAATCTGTGCTGCAAAATGAAGAAAACATTGCCATCGGGCATCGTTAAGTGTCTGCATCCATTTTACATGTATGTGGCCACAGTTTTGCCCAGACAACATTGCAAGGTTGCCAACATTCAATTTTGTATATGCCATGGGTTTAGATCTGGACTTACGAGCCCAGAACTGAACCTAAACCTCTGGACTTGAATCCAGACTTGAACCTAAATGTGGGTTTAGGTACACAGCACTACTGTCTGCTCATGTCTCAAACTTTGGGAGGAGCTATATGATGGATGGGGTGGCTGGCCTGTGGTGTCTACTAACGCTTTCATTTCATGTCTTAATGTTTAAAATGTCTTGACTTTGTGTCTTGTCTTCAGCTACCATGGGGTAGCTGGTCTGTACATGGGGTGTCTACTAACACTTTCATTTACATGTACATCTAATGTTTGTCTTTACTTTGTGTCTTGACTTCAGCAGAACAGATTTTACCTGCTCCAGTCTACAGGAAAAAAGTATTCTTTCCCAAGCTCATCAGACTAAAAGATATCATAAAACTATGCTATTTCTTGATGTACAATTATGAATATAATCAGGTTTCTTTCTACCCGATATTTGCTATTACCTGTTTGAATGTTGCACCTTTACTTTGAAGAATTTTCCTTGCTGTCATTAATTTTATGTGATTGATGGATATTAATACTTAGCATGACAATACCTTCCAATCAGCAGTCAATATTTTGTTGGTTTGAGCTCTCAGTATGCCTTGTATATGCTGTGTTTTGCAATATTTGCAATAATCATATCTTCAGTTAAATGAAATGGTTTTATTGCAAGAGTTTTTATAGTGTTACAGTTCTTTTTATATCTGTCGTCCATGTTAACAGTTCAGTTATATAGAACATTGAATTCAGTTTCAGGTAAAAGTACATTGTGTTTTCTACATTGTACATGTAGCTCAATAGCATAAGGCAATCCCCATAATGTACAGTACAGCTGTGTTGAATATTAGGGATTTTGAAGCAGCACTTAAGTTCTGGTCACAACCCACCGTACATGCTTTTTCTCCGTACGTTTTTTTGGAGGCTACGTCTGCTACGTTTTTTCTGAAAACGTGGGGAAGGGGTGGCGTCTACGCACGTCACTCGCACGATTGCGCAGGGTGTAAGAGTGTGGTCTGCATGCCACGTCTGGCCGTGAGCGGTTGCATGCATCGTTCGTTGCGCAAGTGGTAAGTGAGTTGTACGTGCTTATACAACGTACGATCTCTGTGCGATTGCAACTTTACCGTACGGAGGCGGCACTCACCACGCACGGATGCCCTACGTTTGCCCACATTTTTGAACATAGAGAGCACGCAAAAGCATGTATGGCGGGTTGTGACCAGGCCTTTAGCTAACATTTTTGGGATTCAATTTCAACCTTCAGCCTTTGGCACCAAATTTGTAGGTTGTAGGGAGAAGGTTGATGTCTGAGTCCATAATATTACATGATTGAATTCTCTCTTGAGAGAAGTTTAAAATCTTTGTAAGATATGCAAGAAACCTTCACCTTTACATGTATTCCCTATCAAACTTCCCAAAACTGTGTACTTACTACTGTCGTCCTGGGTGTTGTAATAATATTTTGATTACTAACTTTCATACCTTTTGTTTGTATTCCAGGACAACTGGTGGTCATTCCTACTGTTATCAGTAGGGATAATCATGCTTGTTGTTGGCGTGACATGTTGCCTCAATGCCGTCATCCCCAATAGTATCGAGGAAGCAAAAGCCGAAAGAGCTGGACTACGTTAGAATAGAACACTATTCGCTAAGTCGATCATGAATTCTAAACAAATTATACATGTTGTACATGATTTTTGATAAGTTTTGACACAGCATACATGTAATTGAAGGAGCAAAGCAGAAAGAACCAGGCTACTGATCATGAAGATGACATATTGTACAGTGTACAAAATACTTTTTAGAACCAGTTTTCCCAGTGGGCAACCTACGGCAAAAATAGGTTGCCCATCAGAATTTTAGGTTGCCCCACCTATAAGTTACTGCTTTCCTCAAATTAAGTAATGTTACCTGAAATTAAAAAGCATCTGCCGGCCACATTGGTGCAAGCCAAGTGGGCATGATTTTTTGTTGTTGGGGGGGGGGGGGGCATTCTAAATTCAGGTAGCACACTGGGCTACCTAGGTTCAAAAATAGGTTGCCCCAAGTAAAATTTGGTTGCATGGGGCAACTGGGCAACTAGGTATTTTGCACACTGCATGTTGTACATGGATTGTTATAAGATTGAAAGCATATACAAAGCATAGAGAAAACAGCATAAAAGCTGTACTATTAGTTAATCTGGAATTTTCAACTACACAGGGAACTAAAGAAGATACTTGCCACACAAGTTTGGTTTCAAGTTTGAAGTGTCTTGAAAACTAATTGCTGTGATGCTTAAAGCTAGACTACAAACTAGAAATGATCGTGTGTGTGTGTGACAATGATAGTAACAAATTTGCTCCTGAAATTTAATAAATCATAGCTTAAACTTGACAGGATAATATAAACAGTGTCAGAAGAGGGCACAAGCTGCTGACAAAATATGGCCACACCAATTTGATCTGTTGGTTCTCAGATTTTTTCAGCAAAAATATGAAGCGACAATGGCAAAAAAAATAAAAATAGGTCTAGACATTCTATTATAGCCACAAATGCTATGATATGAGCCACACAAAAGGCTGGGTTAATATTCATGAATTTTGAACTTTTAATCAAACCACTGCATTGATATATGAGAACCAACAAATTAAATTGGTGTGGCCTAAGAATATAAAATTTTACTGTTAGCATTTTTACGCACACCTCTGTGACATTGCCTGGTCTACCTTAAGACTAGATATGAAGAAGGTTCTCAAACTAAGACTTTCATCTCAGTTGTGGAAAAAGGAAGTCAAAGACATGCTAAGACTAAACTGGTAAAAATATGAAAATAAAGGTTCAAAAGAATAAAATTAATAAGCTGAAAAGGCTCACTATAAGTCTTATTATAGACAAAAAGGGAAAATTTATTCCTCTGAAACAGGACTTTAATTTATATGTCACAACAACTTTTTGGTGCCGTCCAAATTCAATCTATGATCTAACATCAATGGATTATAAAAATCTGAATCACTGAAAAGTTATGTCCCACCGAAAATAAAGTATCAATTATGATTTAACATCAATTTACATATTACTGAATTTTGACATTTTCTGCAACAAAAATCCCACCAATCATGATGAAATGATATGAAAGTTATATTTATATTTATTAATCAAAACTAGGAACAGGCCTCAAAGCCACACACGTAAACAGAATAATTTGAAATAGTTGACCACATACTATGTTTTGAAAACATGGACTTTCTTTCTCCATATCATAAAAATATAACTTGTAGTATGACAACAAGTCAAGAAACCTGAATGTGTGTTTTATAGTGACTGTAGAATGTAACTCTGAACTATGCATTTCATTTTAGTGCAATCAGTGGCAAATATTGCCCTTAAATAATGGTTGTTTTTGTACTTTTTGTGCGTATAGTCTTATAATTTTGTGTTACTTAAGTACAGATTATACTACTCTAGGCTTGTTTGTACCACACTTGTTTGTAAATATCACCATACAGTCGCAAAGTAAGATTTTTTTCAAATAAGAAACTATAGGTACATGTTGTACAACATAGCACCAAGATTTGATGATAGTACACTGTCATAAAATGCTATGAGCTTATAATAAGTAAAAACAGAAATAAATGGAAGACCTTTAGTGCTTGAGCTTTTTAAACAAGGAATTAGTATATGCCACAGAATTATTATTTTTTTGCACGTAAAATTTAGAAGTAAGAAGAGTGTGAAACAAGATACAGTTGTCTACGGTTGCCTTATAGAATGTGTGAAATTTGCTGCATGTTGGTGTATGTTTAGCACAACTAAAATGTTTTAGAATTGCACTGATTGAAACGTAAAAATGCTCTACATGTATTGTCCTGTAACTCAATTCTGAAAAGACTAAAGGCTTCTCAGATTAAATAAAGACTTGTCGTGTCAAGACAAAATTAATTTGTCTGCAGTTTTATCACAATGGGTGTATCATATCATGTAAAACTAGTTAGGCCATGTTGATTTGATTAAATATATGGATGACATCCTCTGGGAACCCCAAAACTGATGTGAGCATGCGAATAAAAAAAAAGTTTGGATAAAAAAAATTGCTTTCATTATGAAATCTACGTGGTCATGAAGGTTGAAAAAATGACACAAAGTATGGTATGGCGAATGATCTACTGTGTAGTAACTCTTCAAATATCTGTTTTGTACGATTTACAGTATGGTTGAAAACTTTTTTTGGAAACGGCTGAAACTTCATGTGCGCGCGGATGTCATCCATATAATCAAATCAACATGGCCTAAGTGTATACTCAGTCTCACTGGTAGAGTTGAAACATTGACTTAGCAAGTCATTTTAGATTTTCTACCGAGTATGTATGTGTACGTACATGTATATGCATGTATGAGTGTAAAATATGTACACCCATACATGTGTATATGTACACGTACATACATGTAGGTACGTGTACGTATAATTAATGTATGAGTGTGTTTACTTTTTTACTACTAGTAGTTACTAATTGACTAGAATGATGTCAGTAAGACAATTTGTTAGATTTTATCACCAAATGTATTCATAGCACGTAGTATTAACATAAAACTGCTTCAAAAGGGTGTGCCACAAAGTGCTAACTCCCTAAGGACAAGCCTTCCAACCACCTGTATGAATACAACAAAAAGCACAACTGAGATCAGCAAAATGTGGGAATTCATAGGTCTATTTGGTCACAAGGAGCAACATGTAGCCATTTTATCACAGAAATGTGTACACTAGAGTATCTAAAGGGCCAAAGAAGACAATATATGCATGCTAAGGCCACACTGACTTAATTTTATGGATGACATCCTCTGAATACCCCCAAACTAGTGTGCGCGGGCGAATAAAAAAATAATCCGGCCAAAAATAAAAATGCTACTAAACCACAGGAATACAAAGCTGGTATTGTGAATTTGCAGCAGTACATAGCGACGTATATGACAGGCCGGCACATGCTGTTTTTGTGCGGAATTTATTAATTGGCACTGTACGTATGTACTGAGTTCTTGAGTCATGGAGCTTCGGTACTGGGTGCCATCCTCCAGAGTTACCACCTCCGTATTATCGATAACTACCATGGACATTCCTAGAGCCAGGCCAGAGCCTCAGAGGACGTGATCTTTTTTTTTTCAGGCGAAAATCAATGCGCGCGCGGATGTCATCCATAAAATTAAGTCGGTGTGGCCTAACATAGAACAAAACAGTTATGTTAAATGCTACCCGCCCACCTGAATATAGCCTCAAGGCACAATTCTAAAGCAGGTTGTAGCATAAGTAGCACACCAAGGGTCATACAGTGTAGTTAGATTTGGGGGAGGGCAATTTCTGTATAAAACATGTCTTTCTGTAGCTAGCAAAGTCACAGTTCTGTATAATAGTTACATTTTATCCAGGATCTTTCAGGGAGTTTGTAAGCATCTCCAAGAATGACACAAGTGTGGTTGTTAGTGTTAGTATCAGCGGTGTGGTTGACTGTCTTTACACGAGGTAAGTTGCCTTTCTGATCTGACACAGTTCCACAGTTCTTGTTGTTCTTTCTAGTACATTGTACTTGTGTTATGGAAAGTTGTATGATTATGATACATGTACTATATGTGGTGTATGCTTTGTAACACCCAATCAAGGACAGTTGCAGTGACACCTGTTTTGCTTTAGAATTGGGATAGAGCCTATAAATTATGGCTAAGCCTATAATGCTCAGGGTTTGCCACACCTTATATATACCACACTGTTGTTGCATAATTATTAAGTTGATTATGCTCTGAACACAATATGGTACAACTATTGGAAAAATCACAGGGAATGAGTTACATGTATTACAATTACCATATCATTTTGCATTTGAACACTGAAAAAATAACAAAAATCTGTACACCGAAGCCTGTTCTAAGTGCAAAAGGCATTTGAACTAAAAACATTTTTGTACACATTCTTGTACACTGCACTATCGTAAGCCCATTTCAAACTATCACAGTACACCTTTTTAATGAAGTTAACCTTACCACCATAGAAACCCAGTGATGTTTACATGTACTGTATATCTCAGTGGCCATTCCCCTAATACTTACTGGTTATATTTCAGGTGAGCAGTTGAACCAGTTTGTGACCCATTATGAAGGGTTACAATACGACACCGCCAGGTTACACACCAAACATGAGCGGGCAAGAAGAGCAGTTCTTCCAGAGGAAAGCCGCGTACATCTAGCATTTTTTGCACATGGAAGGTATTATAAGAAATAGAAACTTTTTCTTTACTGATCAGATTTCAAGTCGTGTACTTTGAAATGTACACCATAACCATGTGGGCATATATTGTTATTGTATAGTCTTCATGTTGTGAAGAATTAGAATCTTTAAATTTGTATTTACATACATTTTTCATATAAGTTTACACCTATAACACTTAACTGTCTATAGTGTCCAAACCCTATTATGGTCACAGTAGACAGGTTTGACTGTGGTTCCCCAGACATCTTCTGCATGCAAATTAAAGCTTATTCATTATCATTAATAAGGCCAAGCCAATTTAATTTGTTGGTTCTCAAATTTTTGAAGAAAAAATAAAAACAGGTCTAGGCTGATCCTATTATAGATCCAAATGCTATGATAGGAGCCATTGAGATTGCCATTTTATTGTCCAAAGACTTTTAACGCAACCTGTGTGCAAATCTGACATTTTAAATGACTTTATCTTTTAACGTATTTTATATTAATAATAATGACGCATAATGTTTTTAATGTATGATAACTTTTTATTAATCAACCAATGATAAATATGTAATTGTCAGAGCAATTCAGGTCCCAATTACACGGGACCTGCCATTCTGTACAAATGAATATGTGACAAATAAACCATTAATTATGAAGTCAACACTTAAAAGGCTGGGTTAAAATTTTAACAATCATAATATGAATTTTTAACTTTTAATCAAACCACTGCATCAATAGATGGAAAAAACTATAACAACTAGGAAGAAAAGGACATTCCTCAACTGTTAGGGGCAAAATATGAGCATTATTGAGTTGATTCAGAACCTGCAGAATTTTTGTCTTCGTCAGAAGGACTATGAAATTGTCTCGCCGGAGTGTGGGGAACTGCGGATTTTGCGATATAACTCTGGAAGGCATGATTCGACGTCCATGATTTTTGGCAGGCAGATTACCGCTGTTGAGGCCGAAGTCAAGTACAAGTTTCGGCTTCGTGGGGGGTCCGTGCGTCACGTTAGTGCACCTTTTGTATTTGTGGCTTGTTAGCAAGATAACTCAAGTATTTGTGAAATGTTGATTATAATTCTTGGTGTGGTGCTTACTATTGTCAGGACCAAGGTTAAGTTCGTTACTGAGCTTCGTGGGGGGTTTCGTTGTGACTACAGGGGGCATTTTGTTAATTTTTCTTGTGAGCACTTTTGTACGTGTGGATGGAAGTTAATGAAATTTGATAGGCATGTTACTGTGGTGGTCTCCAAGATTGAGTTCAAAGATGAGAGTCGTGGAGGTCGTTATGTCCCCGTAATAGGACCTTTTGTGTTTAGAAATCCCCCACCTACATCTGCTTGGAGACAGCCGACAGCTGGATATAGTCGGGGAACCCCATAATGGGATGGGATCAAATGACGTTACATTGAGGGATTGTACTATAACTTCAGCAGGGGGAGGATAGGTTGGACATATGTCAGGTTATTTTCTACGGCCACACCAAGTAACTGCTATGGATGACGTCCACTGGAGACCTTAAATCTAATTACCTTAAATTTAAGGCAAGCGCGCAGTAAAAACACGAAGGGCCGAAAAATGAGATGCCTAGATTTGGGATATACTAACTGTAGAAGTACAAATGTTAGGACACAAAGAACACAAGTCTTCTATTTGTCATAAAGACAATATTAATTAACAAAACAGCAGCCAGTAGTCACCCTGTTCTGATTCTTTCCTTTATAACATCTTATTATATTTTGCGGCGCTGTCGTGACACTTTCAACACAGTAAGAATTTCTTGAAGGTTTTTTTTTTCCAGTAACAGTCCAAACTCAAATAACGTGGGGGGGGGGCTAACACGGGTGACGACGCATCTGTATAATCTGCGGCAAACTGTTTCAGGGTGTTCTGTACCATAAAAATAGTACAGAGATTCTTTTGTTCTTTAGACCAAATTGATTATTAAAAAGAGTGAAGAATACGCATGTTAATTTCTCTAGAACGATGTACCTCTGACGAAGACGTGAGATCTCCGACCTCTAGTTTCATTTATTTTGCAAGTCAGAAAAAAAATGAAGAGGCAAATCTGAGAGCCAACAAATTAAATTGGTGTGGCCTTAATAAATAAGAATGCTTGCAGATATGATATAATTCAAGCTGCCCATGACCATGAGAAAATGTTTTGTCCTGTTGTAGGGACTTCCATCTCCAGCTGAGCAGAGACAACAGTATGTTCAGCAGGGACTTTCAGTTAGAGACGTCAGGAGGGATTCAACACATGGACCTGTCACATATCTACTCTGGACATGTCGTCGGTAAGGATAGGATAGAGATGTCATAGTAGATATTCCAACGGAATTATCGTATACTATTATTAGTATAATATCTGTATAGTATAACATTCTAGAAGATGATACTGACCTATACATGAAGATAACATTCTTGGATGTCCATCGTCAAGCACTTATTATTAATAATGAATGCTCCTAGTTTATTTATTTATTTTATTTTATCTTTTTCACATGGATTTTTGAGCATTAGATAGGAAGCACTTGTTGTGCTTAATAATATGTGAATCCACTGCTCATAAAACATAAAGATGACATTAAGTATAACATATTAAACATAAAATGAAAGTGGCTGGCGCACCAATACACCAATAACGTTAATGTGATTTTTCAAATCTTACAGTCGAATATAGTTGAACACAATATCTCCTAGTTGGTATAAAGTTATTAAAAACTATGTCACCCAACTACCTCTGAGTCAGTCTACTTATCAACTTAAAAATCATTCTATATGCTAGAAGATATCACTATGTAGGTTACATTATAATTACAAATGTGTACCATGTATCATCATTATTATTCAGTGACCATTCTAATTCAGACCTTCTATTAATGTGGCCCAAAGTTTGATGTTACAGCATATATGATAATAATTATTATACATGTTCTGACATCAAAATGTTGAAGATTCCATATGGGAAGTACATGTGAGTGAGTTTACATAAAACCTTTATTTCTCACTATAAACAGGTGACCCAAAAAGTGTTTGCCATGGCAGTATCATAGCCGGTCGGTTTGAAGGGTTTGTGTACACGACTGACAATGACTACTACATCGAGCCTGCAGAACGTTACTTCAACACTACACAAGACTTCCACTCTGTCATGTACAAGGCCCAGGACGTGGTAGACCCTCTGACAGGGCACAGGGCACGGTGTGGGGTACATGACGATCACATTTTGACAGAACCACAGGATGCTACAGACTTGGAAGAGGTTTGCGACAACTTTCATTCTAAAGCAAGATCAGTAACACCTGAAAAAGCTCATTTGTACTGCATAATATGGTCATTTACAAGTGTTGTCTGCCACAAGGGAAAGTTTCACCAATTCTTTTATTATGTTCATCAGTTTTCATAAGGAATATAACCCACTTTGCTGACACTCTGATCTTTGGATGTATGATGTCTGGTGGGTCAAAGGGAACCTGAAGTCAGTACTGCTGCCATTCACAGTCTTTTTCACTGGCCATTTAATTTGGTATTTCTGCACGACTAATGTTGCAACACTGTTTCATTGTTCAGTACAAAATTTTAAAGGATGTTTCTATTTGCCAGCGATGTTTTTCCTTCAAGTTGCCCTGTTGTAATCTCTCTCTTGGGTTTGAGACGAAGTTGTAATTGTGTTATGATTCTTGTATTCCAGGATGAGAGTGGTCCAGATCTGGTGCATGAAAAAAAGAAGTACTCCCCTCCCCATCACAGACACCGACGTGCTCCAGGTGACAGGAATACCTGTTCCATCTTCATCATGGCTGACCACAAGTTCTTTGAGTATGTTTTTGTCACTTAAATCTCTTTCAATTGACAAATGATAGAACTTGGTTTTTGCTCCTACATGTAAGACAAACACAAAATGTGTACGGTCAATAAATTGCACCTATGATTCTAAATTCTTAAGATTTCACAAAGAATCTTTTATCATTTTTCACTTTTATTATTTATACTAATTTAGTTAATAGACCTACTGATAGTACTGGTGCACTTCTAACTTTGATTTTTTTCTTAATAATAATGATAATTCTGGCATACTTGTTTTCACCTGTCAGTGATTAAAATGAGGAAAGTTCCTTTCCCAAGGGCACCAGATCAGTGACAAGGCAGGATTCGAACCCGGGACCTCTTGGTTCTGAGCCAAATGCTCTATCATTATGCCACACGACTCCAACACATGTAGACATGTTACAACTATTCCTCTATATTATTTACACAATCTTTTTGAATGTCTGTTTTTACACAGAAAGTATGGTACATGGGAGGCGTCCGTTGCTCAAATTGCCGCTCACGTGAAGGCAGCTAACCTCATCTATCGTCCTCTGGAACTAGACGGGAAGACTGGATACGGAGTCACTGTCTCCAGACTCAAGGTCAGTTACCAAAAATCATGACCATGAGATAGAGCCTCTACTTGGGGCTTCGGGAGGCGGCTGGAAAGAGTAGAAATTGGCCAAATAGACAGATTGTTATTCCAGGGGAGTTGGTCTGTGTTAAAGCTGTGTTTGAAGCTATTTACTAGTTAGCTACTATATTTGGTGGCATTGATCAGTTCCACTCTACAATTTTAGTTCTAGGAAAAAACCCCAACACCCCAATCCTTGAATGGACAGCCAAATTCATAACTTAGTATTAGAATGAAAGTTCATCTGTGTTGGTGGTACAAGTCATTATGAAATAAAGACCCTTACATGTAGCTTTAACTTCCAACACTTAACACGTACTTAGACTACAGAAATGGGACTTACCCCAAATTTTCGGTTGACTCCTTCAACCTTGTTCACGGAATGGACCCGTCTACTCTTGGAAGGTGACGTCAAAGACACGTGACTGTAGTAGCGGGTCATACGTGCCAGATGCACAATGTTGATCATAGTACACATTGTTCAAGTTATGTGGCACGTCTAAGTGTTGGAAGTTAAAGCTTAGTCTTTATTTCATCATAACTTAGTCATTTCTCAAAATGTTGAATTCTTCCATGTCTTATATCTCTTAGATCAACACAACCGCAGACAAAGTCTACCCAGATAACCCATTTAGAGGTGACTTCATCGGTGCAGAGGCGTACTTAGACCACATCTCCAACATGAACCACAATGACTACTGTCTGGCGTACGGCTTTACAGACAGGGACTTTGATGGGACCTTAGGGATAGCCTGGACTGGAGCCATATGTTCTAGGTAACCTGTAACATGTGTTATAATTAATTAACAACCTCTTTTTTTTCCCTAAAGGCACTGATTGCTGAGTTACAGTAGGGTGACCAAATATTTGCCATTTCTATCAGTAATTGTTGACATAGGTGCAAATTTCCAAAGATGCAGCCTGCAGAAAAAGAATTATTTTAAAGAAAATATTATAATTCCCATCAGCTTTGCAGCAAACATGGAAACACTTTTAAGTTACAGTAAAAAATAAAGTGATCATCCTCTGTTTCCCTTATTTCATCTCTATTTCTTTTGATCAGTTGCTGACATCACGTTTTCGTAGTAAAGTCTCTTGTGAGCAAGGTCACGTGTCTGTAACTGTAACTCTCACGGGTTTATGTACGGAAGTGATTGGTCATTAATTATCCTGATGAAGGTGACAGTGGTCATTGAAAAGTTGATCTCTCTGTCCTCTTTTGTGTTGGAATAAACTTCAACATTGTACTATGATTACTACCACAGATGAACTTTCATGATAATCTCTTTTCTACCCCCCCCCCTTCAGACATCTGAGTTATGATGGTACGCTCCAGTCCAGGAACACAGGCCTGGTGACTGTCCAGCTGTACGGGAGTCACATCCCCAGTAAAGTCTCCCACATCACCTTCGCACATGAACTAGGACACAGCTGGGGGTCTCCGGTAAGTCACTCTTTCCTTCACCAGTCAATCAGACTCTATGACCAGACTGCACAGATAGAGTCTGGCACAAGATAATGGAACTTGTAGATAATTATCTGGGTTGTACAGCTACTGTACTGTTTTTGTGAATAAAATATTATGATATTTGACAATTTGTATAATTTATATAAAATTTGACAGTTGCAAATATCAATGCCATTCAGGCAACATTGTATGCCATGTTTGTCTGTTATCTTAGTATCTTAATAAAGAATTGAATTGAATTGAAGTCTCACAACATCCAAGCAAATACAGAGACTCCTTTTTTACACAACCAAGTGTTTTATTCAGCCGATGTTTCGGTGACCGTCTGTCACCTTCCTAAGGGTAATTCTGACTGGTTCACATTTCACAGCAGCACAGGTGTCGCTGTATAGATGTGTTCCCAAATGCAAAGTAATAGGGAACAGTATCTACAATGCGGTCCCAAATGAGTAATATGTACATTATTGAAACATACAGAAATAGCTTCAAAAGAAGGCCTTTTTTGGCATTTCACACACAGTTTTCTTGTTGTATACCAGCTGCAACTGTATTTGGTTACTGACAAACACAGGTAAAATCAGAATGAATGTACCCTCCAAAAGCAGCACATTGCTATGGAGCTCGAGGCTACGTAATAAATATACCGTACTTAAATAGAAATTGTTAACTTCAAGGTTAAAAAAGTATACTGGCCCTGAGGAGATGGACAAAATGTAGCTCATGATTGTTTGTTATAGTAGATTTTTTGACAAGTGTGTATATTGTATATTCCCTGTCTTTTTGTTTTATGAGATTTAAAGTCAATGTAATTCAGGAGTACAACATTATTTCATCTATATACATCTGCCAAGTTGATTAATGTGAATGAAGTTTGTATGTTTGTTTGTAAGTTTGTATTTTACTTCCTTGCAGCATGACCCTCCAGGCTGCTCCCCTGGCGGTTTGATCGGGAACTACATCATGTTTGCCCAGGCTACATCTGGAGACAGGCCAAATAACAGCCAGATGTCCCGATGTAGCGTGGACAGTATGTCACTCACCGTGGCTGCCAGAGCCTTCAGATGCTTCAAAGGTAAACATTGATGTCACTTGAGTATGCTTGCCCTTGGTACTGAACACTATCCACACACAGGTGAACATGCCTGTCCTTGGTGCTGAACACTATTCACACACAGGTGAACATGCCTGTCCTTGGTGCTGAACACCATCCACACACACACACACACACACACACACACACACAAGGACACACTCATGTGAACATGCCTGTCCTTGGTGCTGAACACTATCCACACACAGGTGAACATATCTGTCTTTGGTTCTGAACACTAACAAAACATAATTTTATACCTTTCACACTATATTTAATAGCTGACGTCTGTATATATATTTTCAGCTGAGGCACCCACCCTGTGTGGTAATGGTATAGTAGAAGAAGGAGAGGAGTGTGACTGTGGTTTTCAGGATGCCTGTGACCAGATCGGTGACAGATGCTGTACAGGAGCGACCCCTGGCGTTCCTGATGTTGGCTGCACAAGGAAAGAAGGGGCCACGTGCAGGTGAGTGTTAGTTCATAAGACGGTGAGTGTAAGTCCTTTTTGTGGAAAACTACCTTGTATAAGTAGAATTGGCAAAAAATAAGGTACATTGAATTGAGTATTTTGCATTAGAAATCACCTCATTTGCATTAGATTTAAATGGTACCCTTACCGAATGAATTATGAAGTGTAACTCTGTAACTGTACATGTATATAGCTGGTGAAATCACCCTTGATGGTGTAACAATCCTGTTTAGCTTTGCATGCACGCGGCGCGGTCTCAGCTGGCTATGTAACACTGAATGGCATGTTACGCTTTGCATGTTTGCGCATCTAACTGCTATATATATATATATATGGTGATGGTGCCCCTACTGTACTAAAGGTGGCAACAAGTTCCACTCTACCACTGTGAGTTCTAGGAAAAAGCACGTTTTTTTAACACTACTGTCTAGCTTTGCATGCATGTGGTGCGGCGGCAGCTTGCAATGTATATGTAACACCGAACGGCATGTTACGCTTTGCATGTTTGCGCATCTAACTGCTATCTGGTGATGGTGCCACTACTATACTAATGGTGGCAGCAAGTTCCACTCTACAGCAGTTCTAGAAAAAAGCGAGTTTTTTTAACACTCCTGCCTAGCTTTGCATGCACATGGCGTGGTGGCAGCTGGCTATGTTACACTGAATGGCATTCACGCTTTGCACGTTTGCGCATCTAACTGCTATCTGGTGATGGTGCCCCTACTGTACTAAGCAAGTTCCACTCTACAACTAGTACAGTACTAGGAAAAAGTGAGTTTTTGAAATCTCTATCTGGACATTTTCAACTTCTCATGTAGTCCCAGCGAAGGACCGTGTTGCAACTCGCAGACTTGTTCGTATCACCCTGCATCCAAAGTCTGTGCGACGGAGACAGAGTGCGCACATTCGGCGAGCTGTTCGGGCATTTCCGCAGACTGTCTGAAGCCCGCGAACAAGTCCGGATCGTGTGCAAATGGTTCGCTTACCTGCATAGGAGGAGTAAGTATTAACTGACGTAAACATATTATTTGTAGCAGAACATTATTTTCCTTATTTTCTACTGGAATTGTAAACAGTTAGGTTGTCCCATTTAACTGTGTTGTGTTGTTGTAAGAGCTGTTGCTAATATGGCACTGCAATGCCGATACTCATAATACTTCAATATATCAATATGACATCAGTCTAAAATTTGTGTACTAAATGAGACAGTCTTAAGGAATAAGTTGCATGTACCTTCACCTGTTCATAATATCGTTTTGTGATATGAAACGATTGTTATTTGATGTAAAATTATCTTTAAAAAAGGCTATGAACAAATAAGTGGCATTTATTTTTTAGGAATGCATTGGGTCTGTTTGTGCACTTGAAAACATGGACAGTTGTCAGTGTACGCTGAAGGCAGACGAAAGTAACGCCAAGGATCTCTGTCAAGTGTGCTGCCAAGAACGAGGTAAGCAGCATGTATCATAAGTAAGGAGCATTCCTCGTTTTATCAAAACCATACAGGATTTGCCATATTCTTTGGCTACTGTCTTGCTAAGAGTGGAAATCGCATGTAGTGGCTGTCCTTTTTTCTCATACATTTGTATTCCTTTGTTTGCACACAATTTTGGCATCTGAAATGCTCTGTATCTTTTCATCTTGCAATTGTTTGGCAGCCATTAGATTAAGTATAAACTGTCTGAAACATTTGAAAAACATCATATCTAATGATGATATAATATATAATGTAATATTCCATTACAGCCCACTGTTCACTGGCTAAGTTCTTGTTTTGCGGCTCTGCAATTATTTACATAACTCTATTCAGACTGGGCTTTTTTGGCTCTCCAAGTTTGGTGGTTCAGACGTTATGCAACATTTAAGTTGGCACGGGCCTCAAAAGCTGCAACACATAACGTGCATTCATGTTTCTTGCATATTGACTTACATTTTCCTTTGTGTCTCTAGGACAACAAGGTTCCTGTAGACCTTACCCAGCCAGAACGATCCTGAAGCCTGTCGGCAGCCCGTGTAACAACAACCAAGGCTACTGCGACGCCTTGTGGAAGTGTCGGGAGGTGGACATAGACGGTCCCCTGGCCAGGATAAAACGCCTCCTCCTAACTGATGAGGGGTCAGAATGGGTGAAGGTATAGGAATCTTTGTATCTGTATAGCTGATATAACCACAATTTGTCGTAACACACCAGCTTTGCAGGCATGCGGTGCAGCAGCAGCTTGCTAACATATATCACTCCGAACGAGTGATCTTTGCATGTCTAATTGTAGGAGCACGTCTAATTGTTTAAAGCTTTCTAAGTGAGGATGCCCCAACTGTGCATGGTGTCAACAAGGGGTCCAGACTAACTTTTGAGTCTGGACTCCCAACCCAAAAAATTTGGGTGTGCCAGCAAAAATCTAGGTGCACTAGTATGAAGTATATTGGTTTTTCTTTTAATGCCCACGATCATGATAATGATCATTCTGGCATACTTATTAACACATAAGCGATGAGGCACATGAGGAAAGTTGTGTAAAGTGCCTTTCTAAAGGGAACAAGGCTAGTGACATTGCAGGATGGCGAACCCGGGACCTCTTGTTTCTGAGCCGAATGCTCTGCCCTTACACCACACAATTCCACAAACGCAGTGAATGCAGTATTTGTTTTCTTAACTTTAATCATTTTGTGTTGCTGGAGCAAAGAGTACAAAGGACTACTTTCTTAACACAGTTCTCTTTTTTCTTTCAGAACAATTGGTGGGTGCTGCTTCTGGCCATTCTTGGCATCATAGGTGTCGTTGTTGGCGTCATCTACTGCCTGAATGCCACAGTGCCCAGCAGTATCGAACAGGCACGGAAAAAGGCTAGAATAGCCAGGATACAACCATCACTGTAATGATAACTTGAAGGCAGCTATTTAAGTTAAATGCCTTCAGCTATATGCTACTTGTTAGTCTACATATAATAGCAGAAGAGGAATGAGTAGTAAACTAGAAAGGCCAATATTTGCTTTGGAGCAAATACAGCGATGAGTTCACCACATTTTACGACATGGCAGGGAAAGAATGAGAAACACAAGGGAAAACAATGATTTACATTGATATAACTATAATATGAAGTAACATACAACTAAAACATTAGTTGGATAGCTATTCCCTACTTTATTGGTTAGGATTTTTAATTGCATAATGCAAACTGTTGATTTTCAAAATAAAAAAAAAACGTTCATGCCCCGCATTCCAATGCTGGAGCAGAAAAGCTTGAAATACCTACCAAAACACTTGAATAAAGACATACTGTCAGTATGGAAATGCTCTGTGCAGGTGTTAATCAAGTTAAATCCCAACAGCCAATCAGCAAGAAATGCTCTGTGCAGGTGGAAATGCTCTGTGCAGCCTGTTAATCAAGTTAAATCCCAACAGCCAATCAGCAAGAAGAATAGAGGAAAGCTGCATGCCTATTGGTTGATGCCCTGCATTCCATTGTGATGACTCATGCCCAAACGTGGTACACTAACACAGTAATACATTTGCTATAACACAGCCAAAAAACTCAAATAAAACCATTCTAAAAGCCTGTATCACAAAAATTTAAAAAACGCCTAGGGGTATTTGCCCACTGTACCTCCATACCAAATTTCAGGACCTTAGGCCCTAAAATGAAGAAGCTGAATCCATTTAAAAAATGGCAGGAGAAGGAGAAGGAGAAACATCAGAAAAAGCAATATGGGTTCACCACCACTTCGTGGTGTGGTGAACCCATAACAAGGGCCTGAACATCAAGTTTTGGTCCAATGATGGGAAAGAGGCATAAGTAACTAGTAAGTAAGATTTTGAATTTGCATATTTGGTGTTTTACGTTGCCAATACAAGCATGTTTATGGTTAACGGTCAACATTAGGAAGTACTTACTAATAGCTATAGTAAGTTTCTATTGGTGATGGTTTACTAAGTGCATTTGTTAGTGCAATACGTGATTAAGGATAGATTTTAGATAACAACTTTTGCTCTTTTGCTGCTGTTGATTTCATTCAAACACAAAACAATCACATACATTCAGAAGAGAAGATATCAAACACAATTTTATAAGAACTCTGATACTCAAAGATCCAAATTTTGATAACCCTTTATTTCAAAACAGGCACATATTTAGCATCCACACAAAATAATGCTTAGTTAATACAGACAGTATAACATACAATTAATTATACTTCTATTTTTTATACACAATTCTAAGATACGTTTTGGGGGTATCCATAAACAAACATTATGAATACTTTATAGTAATACTTTTCTGTAAAAAACTTTTATTTATATGCTTTGTGCTATTATATAAAAATGCACCCCTTGCAATGAAAGCATATTACATACTACTAAGTACCCACACTCCAAATACTCATTGTTATACACAACAACGGTAAAAACACCAGTTTAATATTCTGGAATATGTAGTTGACATATAGCTCCTTGTTGTGCCCCATTATAAAAGTTCTTGTTGTATTTCTGTACTATAACAGTTCCTTATACATCCCCACATACTTAACTCTTGAACAGTCAACTTCATAGAAATACTTTTGGTAAATAGTTTTAGGTAATATTTCAACTTCATAGAAATACTTTTGGTGCATAGTTGTACTTCATTTTCTAAATAATGGGTGTTGCCTTACATAATTTTAGTAGGCATCTATGTCAATTAAAGCCTGTCCAACTCCCCTATTGTACTTTACAGTCCTCAGTAGGAGGGATATGTGTTTTTTTTACATCCTGATCATTCAGGATTCTCTCCTACATAATTCTATTAGCATCTATGCCTGTCCAATTTACCTATTGTACTTTCTATAGCCTTCTATATTTGGGATATACATGTATGCCAACCTCTACTAAAGCAATGGTTTACTTCGGAATACATCTATCCCTATGTTTGAAGTCTGCAATTTAGAAGGAGTGATTCAGTTGAGCCAGCCGGACTGCTTAGCTTGTTCCGGAGGTCACTGGAGGTCACACACCAGCCTGTCAGTAGCAATGGTGATTAGCAATGATACTGAGAATTATAAAAATAACTAGAGAATGAAAGCGCTGTTGGTATGATAAAGACAAACAAGAAAACCATAAAAAGCGCATTTTCTATGCAAGTTTATTCCAAAATCTTCATAGCCAAAGTAATATACTATACACAAGGAGCATGCCCTGTAAATGATAATTAGTTCACGCCAGAGGACGTACGCTTGTTAGAAGGAGGGGGATAGTGTAACCCACATGACCTTTGTAATGCATAATTAGTTGATGACCACATGGAAAGAGCGTGATGGAAGCTCCTTGGTATACAATAATGTAATGAAAGACAATTGAGGTATTCACTTGGTTAGTATTGCTTAGACAGCATTTTACGTTATGCTACTGTTAGTAAATATCACCCCGTGTTTTCACACAAATGTGATATTCACCCCTTGTGCCTTTGTTGGTTCGTCTGCCTGGACGTCTCCATCCTCTGCCATAGCGGGGTTGGTTCTCCCTTCGACCGCGGCGGGAGTTTTGTCACCGCCCTTCTGCAGGGTTGGGTCTCCTTTTGGGTATAGCCACCTAGCGAGAATTGCTAGTAACAGCATCTCAAAGACGACCAGCAAGTGGTTCATAGCTGCAAGGGATGTGATGAAGAATGGATATTGAAAATGAATGCTGCAAATATTGTCATGATAGAGCCAATGCTAAACTACTTGTGCGAAGAAAGTGTTATTTTTCCCAATATTACCATATTTTTTCTTAAATTCGGTGTAGATGTTAGTGATTTTGATCAAAAAGGTGTGAAGATATGGTTTCTCTCCGAATTATTGGGAATTTTATGTCAGAAATATTTTTGGAGCAACCGGAGATCGTCTCAAACATCAAAATTGGTACCAGGGTAAACGTTCGTCTGTACAAAAGACCATAGGTGCATTATTAATGCAACAAGGCTTCACCGGGCCAGCCTTATTGCATTGTACCAATGGTCTTTCGTACGTTTGAAACGGTGCGAGAGATCCGTACCGTTAGCTCTGCTACTGGCAGGAAAGAGAGTGTCAGGGTTACACGGGATGGCTCCTGCCGTGGCTAGGATGGACAGAAGCGCTGTCTGTAGATTAGACACCAAAAGAACCGTCTGAATTCTGAAACGGAAAGGTACAATGGATACTGGGATTTTTTTTCTATACACAACCACGTACTTCACATTGCTTACGTTTTGATGTCTATTGGACACATTTCTCAGAGCTTCTGGACAATTTGCCTCTCGCAGCTATCTGGGCCATGGGGGAAATGCCAATAGTCATTGAATGAATTCACGTCATGTGTGCCAAAAAAAATGTAAATAGACGGGGGACGCCATAAACTTCTCACTGAGTCATAATGCCCATATTTGCATAAAACGACTTTATTTTTGAAGTATATGGCTCATTCCTCGACAGAGACTTTAACATAAGGATATCATAACAAACGGCAAACCTATCAAAAGACATCACACAGTGATTCTAAGAACAGCTTTCTCTAAGTACTTACAGCATGAACTTGGCCCTGATGTTGATGTGTTGAAACTTCTCCAGCTCCCTGACGTTCTGATAGATGACCATACAGCCGTACATGCACACCAGGGTAGACATGAGCCGCAGGATGGTCAGCCATACAAACGCGCCCTGGACAGAGATCTGGGCAAACAAAACTTGTGAAAAATCAAACATCCAGTACTAGTGTGTCACACCAAATTGCTGCTCCGTCACATTTCTGCTTATGGTGATAGTGTGCGTGCTGGGAATTTAGAGCTAGGGTTAGGGTTGGTGTCGGGATTAGAGTTGGGGGCCAGTGTTGGGGCGAGAAACATGGAAGCCAGAAGGCACACGCCCGAGATGGCGGCCTAGAGTCACTTTGCGGAAAACACTACAAAATGATGGGGTAAAACTTGGACTTAACTCACTTAAGGATATGGCAGTAGTGGCGCAAGACCGAAACCTTTGGAGACAAAAAGTCAGACAAGGAATCGACCTATGCAACAAGGTTGCGGGAGGATCTAAGGTCTAAGGTAAGGTAAGGTTGGGGCGAGGGCTAAGCTTAGGAATGGCGTTAACTTAGGTCTAGACCCCTCATCTTGACCAATCCACTCCCCCATGTCTCAGGTATATTGGAAATCCCTTATACATTCTATCTAATCTAGGTCTTAAAGATTATTTCTAGAATTCTTCTCTGTTTTAAGCAACTGGAGATAAATTCACATAGTTTTTTCTATTGTGTGGTCATTACTGGTAGACATGAAATGACTGAATACCTCTTTCTTTGTTCTACCTTTACACAGTTTGTCTAAGTAGTGCCGGGGAATTTTTGGCAGGGGCACCCTGGGCATGTATCTTTTGTAAGGTGACGTGACAGAATTCGAAGGTAGTGGGTCATCATCTTATTTCCCGTGGAACTTGGCAGTAGGAAGGCATTGACAATTCCATGACTCTAGTTTCATTCTTGTCAGGTTGAAGAGATGCAATAAGTTCCTTCAAGTTTCATACCTCAGCATCGTTGAGCCTCCCGTCGGCCCCAGCTACATCTCCGATGTATTCCAGTAGGGGGCGCACGATGGTGTACTGCAGCACAAGGATCCGCAGGTTCCCGTGTACCCTCCTGAATAGATGGTAATTAGCAATAACTCCACTACAGGATTATATAAAGTTACTTCAATTATCATATAGTCCAGGTGACGTTGACAAATCAGACGTCACCAATTCATATTGGATATGATAGAAAGAAACATGATACATCATAAGTGGTCGTTTATTTCATAAGTGGCCCTCTGTTGTTTCATAAAGGACCACTTGACCGCACCATTATGCTGCGCTCACTCGGTGGTTTAATTCGTTGATTTTAGCAACTGACTACCTTATTACACCATATACACCTCGGGGCGGGACATTAACCCTTAAAAATAACCTGCTATCTAATATACTAATATTGTTCTTTAATTAATAATTGAAATAATAAGTTTTCGTCACCCCATTCCAACTTTTTGAGCGAATACAAGCCAAACACAATTTGATGTAAGACTAGGTTAACCCTTCCACGAATAGTATATCACTTCACATGTACCTGTTTAGCCTAGACTTGGGGATGCAGAAACAGCAACAGCAGCAAGGGGGCGTGTTGTATTTGATGTCTGTGTTCGACAGCTCCTCAATGAGACGCTCTTTGCCGCCATAGTAGTCCGTCAGCAAACTGAAGAATATCAACATGGCGAATGCCAGGTACCTGCGGAGAAAAAAAACGTCGCATGAGAATGTAAAATACGTCGGTGAAGGTTAGACATACAGGTGATAAGATACGCCAGAAATAGTTAGTCAATTTAATATGATTTTGGAAACGGTCAGACGTTTCAGGTAGCATCCACTTCGAAAGATTCCATTCGTCAGTGACACTAGAGAACTTGTGACAAGTAAAAATGTAAAATAGTTTCACACTACATCACCATCTATTACAGAAGACTACAGTTTTAAAAATCACATTAACGACAACTATTTTGTAGCGTCTTTATAAATTCATATTTCAGTCTAAAATTTTTATTAGAAATTTCTATACATGTAGCATTGCTAGAAATGCCTAGGGGATGCATTTACGAACTGTGAAATTAGCAATTGGCGAACTGTTAATGACTAATATTTAATCACTGACAAAGAAATTTATTTCTTAAAAATGTACTTCATTTTGATAGCGACCAACTAAACGACAAATTGGCGCATTGCCCCTTTTCTTACTGCAGCATTAGTTATCGCATGACGCAAACGTCAATCAATTATCAACAGCCAATGAGCTGATTCCGTCCTCATGACGTCATGTGAAAAGAGGTTGATATTTACCCTGTTGATAAGAAGTTGGAATAGAGGCTTGCCCTGGGCACCCATAAGGTCACCACTGACGTCATGCTGAAAACCTGACGGGTTGGGGGGCAAGGTTCACAAAGTCAAACTTTAGTCAAACTATATTGCACAACAATTGTAACAGGTACAATGTATAGTAAGCTCTTCAGAGTTACTACATATCTAATCGAATGTGTACAATAAAGTTCTATGTGTTAACATATACCTTAGAAACGTCAAAATTTGTTTTACGTGATAAAATTCAGTAAAACATTCGTTACAACCTGGTATGTGAACGCAATTTACGACAATGACGTAATATGGGGCCCTTGGACCAAAGTTGGGTCAATAACCGCACGGACACTAGTTCAATACTCTTTTAACCGCGAGGTCATTGACCATTCACGCTTCGGTATCAAAACATAAAGGCGCAATTTACGCAAAGATGGCATTCAACCGTGAAACTTTAGGTATGTGACAGAATCAACCACCGACAAAGATTTAAAGACCAAATGACACCAAAGAAAGTCTGTAAAATACATACACATATCGGAAGTGTACATACAATATAGTCACTGAAAGTTTGTTCCAATCATGGTAACTGAGAAATTGAGCTTGTATGGCCTTCTAAAAGGTAATTTTTGGAGACTCTCTAGCAAACATCTCTATGCTTTATTTTTGCATTTCTGTGCTTTTTTTGTGTCATGAGCACTTTAAGACATACCTTTCCGTAACAAGAGTTACAAGACAGTCAAATTTTTAACTATACTTGCACGACTGCCCCATCAGAACTATTTTGCGATCGCAGGACGATTTTACGACGAACGTAGGACTTAAACACAATAATGATAACGATTGTTCAATGTTTGACTCAACTGGAAACAGTCCCAGGATGATGAGTAGCTTGTTCCTCCGCTGTGGACTTGTGACGTGTTTGCTGAGTGAGTAACACTCCTCCACGTACAGCAAAAACGTTAACGCGAAACACACAGATGCCGTGCCGAGTAGCGCACGGACGGTTAGGTCCCTTCCAGCCACTGTATTGTTGGGATGAAAAAATATAGATATAACGTTAGGCCACACCAATTTAATTTGTTGGTTCTAGGATTTTTCCAGAAAAAATATGAAGCGACCGGGCGAAAAAACAGGGTTAGGCATCCTAAATGCAACGATATATAGGAGCCATGGAGTCAACACAAAAGGCTGGGTAAATATTGAAATAATGAATTTTGAACTTTTAATTTAATCCAAAATAAACCACTGTATTGATAAATGGAAAATATGTAACAACAAGGAAGGAAATGACTTTCCGTTGGAGGCAAAATATGAGCATTTTTAGTTGAATCAGAATTTTTTTGTTGCAAATCAGAAAAAAATGAAGAGGCTAATTTGAGAACCAACAAATTAAATTGGTGTGGCCTTATATAGGAATGTATTTTATGAAAGAATAACTTGTGTCTAGGAATCTGTGCTATGCAAGTCTATTATCCATTCCCTTTTGGACGGCTTTGGGGTGGTTTGGCCCCAGGTTGTTGGCACAGGCCTTCCCTCTGACTGTCGATCTTTCCAGCCGACCTTTCTGATAACTGCCGTTCTAAAATTGAACTATTGAAAACCCCCGGCGTGCGCTAATGGACCTGGCCGAGTGGGCAATACTCTGAGCACCGTTGAGACACTGGCGAGCCTACGATGGTCTGGCTACCAAGCTGTACTAGACACATGGTATTGTAGGCAAGCTTTCTAATCCACCAAATGCGGTTGTGGTCCGAAATATAATATATAGGCCTAGGAACTATTTTCTAACCTCTTTTTCCGCTGTATATTTAGCCACAAAAGGAGCTCAGGAGGGATAAGTAAGCTAAATCCCAGAAGGCCTTCAAAACGTATTAGCTATCAGTCCACAGATTTACAAAGCCATGGTGCCCCAGGGCAGCTCATTCATAAGTAATGTGTCGAACCCGAATATTTGAGCTATCCTGCCAAGCATCCTGGCATATTTGAGCTATCCTGACCAGTTTGAAGCGTTACCTTCACACCAGTCTTACTCCCTCTCTACTGATATTCATCTAAAAAAATAGGGTGCACAAACTTATTTTAGGTGCACCATATAAGATAAAATATTGTCATCAAAAACTAATTACTCTCACACTTAGATGTTAACAATATGCTCTATACTACTATACATTTAATATAGACACAAGTAAACATATGAAAATATTTGAAAAAAAATGGGTGCACAGCTCCAAATTTGGGTGCACTGAGGTGCACATGCACCCAGTATTTTGAGCCCTGTCAATGTGTAACTATTTAAGACTCTAGGCAAACACTCTTTGTTGACATGTCCTTCTAACTGGGTCTATGATAAGAGAAAGGTCATGTTGTTAGGTTGGTTAGTAGAGAGCACTGTATTAACGCTATCTATATATTACTACTTGACGTATTCTAACATTACCAGTTAGTAGTGTTACATGTAATTCTAACATACGAACTTTTGAATGCTGTTACCGTTGCAGTACCAATGATGTATTTAATGTCACATTAGGCATGTATTTTGAACGTATGAAGCATTTAAGATATTTTACAAACTAGTGACAACATTATAACAGTGGATAGTGTAGTGGGTGTGCTGTTGTACCCATACTAAACCGGCATGTACGCCCCCCTCCCCCACAACATTCAAGGGCAAATTATGAAAAGTAATACCTACATGCTAGAACGTCCGATGAGAACGGCACCTCTTCTGAACAGTTGGCCATGTCGTTGGTCGTCCGTTCCTGAGTTCAAAAACAAGCTGGCCTAACTGTAGGTAGACACACCTTGTTCAGAACTTCATGGAAGAGTGGCACTTACAACAAAGCCGAGTAGCGCTCTGGTTGCGTGCCTATGGTCTGTGCGTGTTTTGGTCTGCGGGGTAAGATATTTGATCACACATGGCTTCACAAAGGAGGGAGTGGTCCGGCAGAGGTCATTGTCCGTAAGGGCATCTTACTTCATGCGGGTCACTTGGAAAAGTTGATCGACAAGTTTTGCTGAAGATTTCAACACAATAGTATGTGCTACCTGGGTTTGTCATTATCTTTTTCCAACCGACTAGTTAACCGGTAGGTGGTTAACCTGTAGCTGTGCTATGCACATATAATCGTTAAAGGTGAAAGATCATGTATCCCACCGCTGCCACCATGTGTAAGGTATTGAAGGGACAGGCTATTGAAGAGGTCTGTACACCGTGACTGCCTGCTAGAACTGTCTTCCCAGACACTGATCTGAGTCCTTTATTCACAATTAATCAGTTACAGATGTGGTCTATGGTCTCCTAAAACATATTGCAACACTACCAATATGATAACATTCACTGCTTGAAATCAAATGTATGAAAAGGGAAAGAATTTGCTTGGGTGCTATTCGATTTTCTACTGGGCTCCTTACATTAACTGGCCCGAAAATATCACTAAGGAACTCGGAAAGAAGGCTAGAAAAGAACCACCATGCATATATACAAGTCTGTCATCTTTGCCTCACATTTTTACAATGTATTATTCAAATAGCAAGGTCAGGTACATATTGATATGTGACATGTCGTGCTTCGTATATGAGAACGTTTAACTCTTTTTGTCATAATGAAGTATACAGATGAACTTTCATGCTAACCTTGGTTGTTGTGCAATATCATAATAGTACATAGTGACCAGCTTGGCGACCCAGCCCCATAATTAAGCAGCCCAAAACACAAGTCACACTGATAGGCAAATTGAAGCTGAACAATCATGTAGAGCGTTCAAAGGCCAGACAGACGTAGATTGTCAGGGCATGTTCAGCAAATAAAAGGTAATATGACCTTGTATATACGTCACTAGTCCAACAACACATACAAAAGAGCTCAATACATATTGAACATGTCGCATTTTAGACAACAGCATTGCTAAAAACTAGGTTGGAAACTCCCTTTTACATTTGTGTATCATAGGAAAACGCCAGTCATACTGAAATGAAAAAAAAAAACATGCCATTGTGCTCCTGGCATAGCCCTAATCACTCTGACTTTTATATTCTAGACTAACTATAATATGTAGCGGTTTGTAACTAACTATGCACTTGTGTTACTAACTATGCACCCATGGAAAAAAACAGGGCCGGGGAAAAGGCGGTTGCTATGGCTTTGGTCAAGTGGCTTGAAGTGGTGGATGCAGGTTTCATTACAGAGTCAGATGTTACAGAGGTAGCATCCACTATCTTCTGTATCTATCTGTACAGCTGGTATAACCACCCTTCGGCTTCGCAGGCACGCGGCGCGGCGTCAGCTGGCTACATTGCACGGATCGACTTGTTACACCTAACCCTTGAACATCTAACTCTAGACATTGTTTAAAGCTATCTGATGACAATGTCCCTACTGTACTTGGTGACACTCTACAATAGTTCTAGGAAAAAATGAATTCTTGAACACCTCAATCCTTGGATGATAACTCTGGTACTTGAAGGCATGGCTATTTCTTGTTCTGTTCTGGGCTGGTATTACCGGTATTACTTAGTAGCTGTTTCATCGGTCACTGAGAAGGCCGGCACTTGTCAGTTGTACATCTCTGTCTTTCCTCCTACGATTCCAGTTGTCTCTCCTTGCGAAGTAAATATCTGGTCTTCAGACTGCTAACGGTCATCTGTATGTACAGAAATACAGTTGTTTAAAGAGAAACCATGTGGAACAATATTGGGGTTTAGTTATAAGTACTTTAAGTCAAGATATCCATGTTTGTATAGCATGCATATACTAGTAATCAGGCGAATATGGTTACAATCATACAATGTCACCAAACACATTATACACTTGAACTAAGTACAGTCAAACTTGGCTATAGTGGTCACTCAGGGGACAAGTGGCTAATGAACCTTCATTCAATAAGAGACAGAGGCATTCAGTTCACATGTAATTAGATGATATTCCTAGATCCGATAGTCGTATACTCAATATACATTACATGATGAAAGTAAGGTTTAATTGTATTCGCTAAGCTCCATATCAAGCTACATGGTAATTTGCACTAGGGCTGGCACTTGTACTTGCCACTATATAGCTATGTTCAGCTTGAGCGATATCGTACTTACTTTGTAGTTATCTTCTTTTGTTGGCAGTGATGACTGTGAGGGGTGCACAGCAGCCTGCTCCTGATGGAATGAACCGATTCGTAGAGGTTTTAGAAACAGAAACCTAAATGTATATAGCGCATATCTACTCTAAAAAGGCGGATGAATCTAGTAGTCAAATTGCATCAATCCATAACATCGGTGCGTTTTATACTCTTCGTTTGCTTAAATAATTTATTATGTGCCTGCCCTGTACTGTTTTTATATGGGAGTCACAAGAATTGAATAGGGGAAATAGTGTAACCACAGAATGACAGAATTGTCTCCCCTTAGGTAGGGAAGAAGTGACTGTGGAACATGCACAGAATCAGGAAAAAAAGACTTGTGCAAGAAGTTAGTAGCAATGACTCTAAATACTTCACGTAGGTGTGCAGTCTTCAATTTCTTGAGATTATTTAGACCTAAATGATTTGAAACTTTATTCACACACCTCCTTGCATGTACAATGTAAGTCTGAATTGGTAGGCATTTACAATGAAAAAGGTTAAACGCGATAGGGAGTTACAAATAGACAATCCATCAATCAAACTCGATTTACAATCAATAACTAGAGGTCGGAGGTCTCATGTCTTCGTCAGAGGTACATCGTTCTAGAGAAATTAACATGCGTATTCTTCACTCTTTTTAATAATCAATTTGGTCTAAAGAACAAAAGAATCTCTGTACTATTTTTATGGTACAGAAAACCCTGAAACGGTTTGCCGCAGATTATACAGATGCGTCGTCACCCGTGTTAGCCCCCCCCCCCTACGTTATTTGAGTTTGGACTGTTACTGGAAAAAAAACGTTCAAGACATTCTTACTGTGTTGAAAGTGTCACGACAGCGCCGCAAAATATAATAAGAGAAGATGTTGTAAAGGAAAGAATCAGAACAGGGTGACTACTGCTGTTTTGTTAATTTGTCTTTATGACAAATAGAAGACTTGTTTCTTGTGTTCTTTGTGTCCTAACATTTGTACTTCTACAGTTAGTATATTCCAAATCTAGGCATCTCGTTTTTCGGTCCTTCGTGTTTTTATTGCGCGCTTGCCTTAAATTTAAGGTAATTAGATTGAAGGTCTCCAGTGGACGTCATCCATAGCAATTACTTGGTGTGGCCGTAGAAAATAACCTGACATATGTCCAACCTATCCTCCCCCTGCTGAAGTTATAGTACAATCCCTCAATGTAACGTCATTTGATCCCATCCCATTATGGGGTTCCCCGGCTATATCCAGCTGTTGGCTGTCTCCAAGCAGATGTAGGTGGGGATTTCTAAACACAAAAGGTCCTATTACGGGGACATAACGACCTCCACGACTCTCATCTTTGAACTCAATCTTGGAGACCACCACAGTAACATAACCTATCTAAATTCATTAACTCCATCCACACATACAAAAGTTATCGTGCTCACAAGAAAAATTAACAAAATGCCCCCTGTAGTCACAACGAACCCCCCCACGAAGCTCAGTAATGAACTTAACCTTGGTCCCGACAATAGTAAGCACCACACCAAGAATTATAATCAACATTTTACAAATACTTGAGTTATCTTGCTAACAAGCCACAAACACAAAAGGTGCACTAACGTGACGCACAGACCCCCCACGAAGCCGAAACTTGTACTTGACTTCGACCTCAACAGCGGTAATCTGCCTGCCAAAGATCATGGACGTCGAATCATGCCTTCCAGAGTTATATCGCAAAATCCGCAGTTCCCCACACTCCGGCGAGACAATTTCATAGTCCTTCTGACGAAGACAAATATAAATGTGACAAAAATTGTATAGTCTTCTAAATATAATACAGGTCATTCGGTCACGTCGGTATTTACAGATCGTCAGTTAAAGAGTTTGTTCAGCAAGTTTGTCATGTAAGGCATCGCATAGTCTGATGATGGTATCAAGCTTTTACCAATGATAAGTAAGCATATACCCACATTTGCGATCGAACGAGATAGTTTGTTGCGCCGACTACACAATGCTGACAGTACACGACAGAGGGCGTTCCTCACAGACATGATCAGACCGAATGGTGGCGGTAGGGGCACGTCCACCTTCAGATAGTACATCTGGTTCTTCTGCACTACAAAGGCCCAGTCAGTGCGCTTTACCTCCTGGAAAATATTTAAAACACATCGGCATATATTTCATAACAAATACTGGTACTGATAGCGAGGTGCAGCTGTTTTACACAGATGGGGACAAGAAACTTTCATAAAAAGGTCATGGTATATGATATGATTTTATTAAGGTCTTATTTTTCATTATATAAATAGTGTAGAATTTGAAGTGAATAGACCCATATGCATGTCTCCAACTACGCGAGCGCCATTTTGAAAAGTGTTCTCGCGAGAGCACATCCTAGCGAGAGCGCGCGTGAGCTGGCACCAAAATGAGGCTGGGGATGGATCAGATGGCTATAGTTGCTACTTATTAGCATTACTACTCGAAGTAATGTGACAAATATTTAAATTATCTAGAAAAAGGATCATTCAAAAACAAAACACGATGTAATATACATGTAAGTACCTCTGCTCTAGTATAAGAGTCGCTGATGATGGCGATGAGCACATTCGTCAAGACCAGTATCTCAACCACGTGGTGTAGGGCGAATATGACTTTACCGACTGTCTCCGTGATGACAGGCCGCTGGTGTATCTGGAACACGTCTACGGGGCCGGTGCCTGGTGTCAGCTCCACCGTGGTCAGGTCTGTGAGTCCAAACCACGTCCAGAACAGGGTCTGAAGAGAGTTGAACAGCCTGAAAAAAAAGCAAAGTTCTTACGTCAGTAACTTCATTATGCCCTCGTCATTTGATTTCACTTGATTTGGAGACAGTTATAAAGATGTACAGAATTGTGCCTTTTCTCCCGTGCAAGACATAGGTGGCATGAATGTATTTTTCAAAACGCCAATGCCTATGATAACTTTGTTTCTGTTTTCAGTAACCATCTGCGTCTATCACCTTCAGATTTGTAAAGCACCGTGGCTCTAATGAGCTGTAGACAATGTAAAATAGTCTATATAGGATAGAACAGCTTTTCAACATTAACTTGTTTTCATTTGGATATTTTACAGAGAGGTATATTTGTGAGGGATCACTCACGTGTCAAACCCAAGTGACTGTGTGCAGTCCAAACTCTGTAGGTTGCTCTGTGAATACTTTGAGCAGAGGTACTCGTGCATGGTGCCGTAGAACCAGTACAACTGGTTCAACCCGCACGCGAAGGCGAACATAAACAGCGCACCCATTGAAACGAACTTCTGGATATCCCCAAGCATTCTTCCGATGGAGACCAGTAGCATCCCCAAGAACGGGTGAAACGTGAAGAGAGACACGGCTCGTAGAAACACGGCAATCGTGAAGATCGAGAACAGGACATCGGCGATCGCGACCAGCTGGAAGCTGTTTTCGTTCGCCTTCAAAGCCCAGTCATCAGCCACCGTGCTCTGACTGCTGTAGACCTCTAGCTAACAAATAGATAAAGCAATATATATATATATGTATATATATATATATATATATATATATATTTATGTCCTACCTGGGCCGCGATTACGTTCGATACGGGGGTTCCGGCCCGTGTGATAACTAGCGGTACAGCCCGGGGGTTCTTAACGCGTACGGCCCGGGGCTTCCAAATGTTCCATAGAACGATTCGAACGCGTTTCGCCCTAACCGCGTGCAACGCTTTCAAAAATTCGAGTGCAAAATTCGGACGTTGGAATTGATGTTGTTGCGTTTTTGGGGATTAGGGACACCAATTTTTTGCTCATTTCGCATTGAAAGGCGTGTTTTCGTGGGTGGGTATGACATAAATAAAATACAACACGGTGTATTCCGCATCACCCTCGGTCCCAGCCCTCCCGCGGATCGGATCTCCCTCCGGCCTTCGGCCGTCGGGCGATCCGACGCGCGGTCGGGCTGGTACCTCGGGCAATACGGAATACCCCGTGTTGTATTCTATATATATATATATATATATATATATATATATAGAGAGAGAGAGAGAGAGAGAGAAGTAACATTTGCAAATCAAATGCATAATATTTACGTTCAGGCATGGTCTGCTCTGTTAGTTCTTACTCACACAAATTCCCATACATGTACTACTAGTATATGGTGACAGGAGCAGAGCAGACCATGAAATTGCAACATTATGTAACCCAACAGCAGTCACCATGGTGACAGACGTCAACAAATCATGTCATTGGTCAGGTCAGAGGTCACTGTTTGGAGAAGAAGAAGAGGAGGAGGAAGAAACTGAGCAAAAACTATGTTTCCTTCGGTAAACATATATGCGACTAGAAAGACAACATTTGGTCTGCTCAGTATACTCGAACATTCATATATATGGTGACAGGAGTCTAAATCCCTCCCGATATAAAATTGCAGCATGATGTAACCCAACACTTGTCCCCATGGTGACAGACGTCTGGTTCAGGTCATTGTTTATTTGTTTGGAGAAATAGAGGGAGAAAAAACAGAGCAAAAACAATATACTAGCAGGAATTAAAGCATAAAAAATCCTATTAGCCTTTTTGTCGCTAATGTCCAAACAAATTGAAAAGTGAAGTGAAGCACCGTTTTAGAATGAGCTCTCGCGAGAACACACCCTAGCGAGAGCGCGCGTGAGCCGACACCAAAACGAGGCCTAGGATGGATCAGATGATCCATTATATTCGTACAGAAAACAGTGCGGCTGACAAAGAAAATGATGATATGAAATTTACCTTGAAAATTGCCACAAGCCGGAGAGCAAATTGTGCAATGTAGAGGGCGACCATGAGGAAGTCCAGGACGTTCCATAACTGCTTGAAGTGGTTCAACAAACCCTCGCCGAGAACCTCTTTCACCTCCTTCCATCCTACGTCTAGAATAATATGAAAATGGAATAAGATGTAGTTCAAAGCCGCCTAATTCAGATGTTAAAAATATCGAAATAATAAAAATCCTTCAATATTCTTCAGTACGTTACGACTTAATGACTGTACCCCAAATTTGAAACATAGTAATACAAATATACATACATACTATTAGTATAGCAATAATTTGGATACATTAACCAGCATTATGCAACATATGACATTTAGAAGTTTAACAGGCCACATTTGTAATGCATGATTACAGATGAAACCAAATAACAGCATCCGAAAAGAATAAGAAACAGTATGGACTAGAGAAGTTACATTTGCAAAACGTTTAAAAAAGCATAATGTTTACCTTCGGACATGATCTGCTCTGTTAATTCTTACTCAAACACATACATGTACTACTAGTATATGGTGACAGGAGCAGAGCAGACCATGAAATTGCAACATTATGTAACCCAACACCAGTCACCATGGTCGACAGACGTCAACAAATCATGTCATTGGTCAGGTCATAGGTCACTGTTTGGAGAATAAGAATAAGAGCAAGAAACTGAGTAAAAACAATATGATTTCTTCGGTAAACATAAGTATGCATGGACTTACCAATGACCCATATCATGATCAACATGGCAGGGACAGATATAGGTTTAGCTGCTGCCGGCGTTCCTTGGAGGATACTGTCTATCTCTGCTGTCCCAACCCGGTAGGACTGAGACTCCACCAGCAGTAGTACCAGCAGAGTCAGCCAGGAGTACGTCCAGTAAAACGAACGGATAACGGAGAGACTTGAAAATCTCCCAACCTGTGCATCAACAGACAGACAATAGCATAATTATGATAAACAATGAGAATGATAACAGCCACAGCTGAAACGTACAGCCTACTAGAAGGCCATTATGAGACACTAATTATGAGAAGTTCCAAAGACTTACTATGTTTACCGAAGGAAAACATATTGTTTTTGCTCAGTTTCTTCCTCTTCTTCTTCTTCTTCTCCAAACAGTGACCTCTGACCTGACCAATGACATGATTTGTTGACGTCTGTCACCATGGTGACTGGTGTTGGGTTACATAATGTTGTAATTTCATGGTCTGTTCTGCTCCTATCACCATATACTAGTCTTAAGTTCGTATTCCCTTGGCTTTCTGACCCAATGGCAATGCTCACTTGATTTTCTTCACGTATGACGTCAGCAACAGGTCAAGATTCATCGGAAGTCGTGACGGGGGTCGGTACCAACTTCCGATCAACTTTGCCCTTTTCATTTTATTAGAAGCTTTATCATTGACTACTCTCTTACCTTTGACGTAGGCGCCAGGAGGTGTGCTAGGCACAGAAATGGATAGGCGAGCCCGATCGCCACTGAGACAAACAGCGCACGGGCGCTGGACCACTTTTCAAAGTCAATGAAGTAGTGATGGAAGTCAATCAGCTCCCGGTACGTCAGTATGTTGATGTAGTCAACGGAAAGAGGGTTGGTCCCGAACTGATGGAAAAGGGGTAGATAGAATATTAGTACATTAAGACACTATAATGGAAAAATTCACATTTTCCTCGGGATATCTGAGTGTGAATCCAACATGGCGGTCAATTCTTACGCCATGGTCAAGTGAATTCAGATACCCCATATTTAGCCTGTGTTACACAAGCTCTCGGCCGGAGTTTAATAACCCCCACCCAACTTCGGGGCGGCCGGCCGCCAGGAGCGCGATTAGTCAGGCTACCCCATATTAAGGTAACATCTAACCTGTTTCATCTCGAGATCCACGGCTAACTGTAGAGTACAGACAGATTTTCCGGCCGGGCAGTCCTCTGGGCTACAGTGGTGACCGAGGACGGTCTCGGCTTCTTTCGTTGTGCGCACCTCCCCAAGCAGATCGACGGCAAACGCCTCGCACTGGTCCGCCAGCTCCTCCAGCTGCGCTCGGTAATTCTCCCTTTTCCAACACGCGTCACGTAGAGCCTTAAAGAAAATATGATTGAATGATAAGTGAACTAGAAAGGTAACATTTGCAAAGCAAAGGCATAGATACAAAAATTTGTTTACATTCAACTGGTCTAGCCCAAAAAACTGAGCAGCCTGTCTAAATCTGTCCTGCTACAAAATTTAACCCAACACCACAGGGTGATGCTACAGCACAAGTTACCATGGTGACAGACGTCTGGTCCAGGTCAATGACTTAATTTGTTTGGAACAGAAGAAGAATAAACTGAGCAAAAAACACCTCTGTGAAGGTAAGCATAATGAATGAAAAAATGTATGTCGAAGCCCTATGCTTATATATATGTTGCCGTTTGGAAATTCACAATAAGTTTTTTGGCGACGCCTCAGGGAGGAGCCTAATGGTACAGTATTGTGTGCAGTTTGCAAGAATTCTAGGAATGGTGCAGGCATTTTGTCCACAGGAATGGAATGTCCACAGGCATGTCTCTGACCCACATCTATGCCCACATTCCTGGAAACCCTTGGGAAGACCTCTCTGCCCCGGATGGCCCTACTTTCTGTGACCCCGGGGCTCGTTCACTATGCACTCTATCTGCACTGTATCTGTAGGTACCAAGTCTTCCTCAAAATCATGAAATCATGGCAGTGCCATGCAAACAAAAACCATAACAGCAACCACCGTCGCCATGGCAATGTATGTTTTCATTGCCAGTCTTGTTTTACATATTAGTCTTCTTGTAACGGTAAATAATAACGCAAGTAGTGACTAAGTTGTAGCATACCTTGGCGTTCTGGAAGGCTGTTAGGAACGGATCCGTGCTTGTCAGTAGAATGTAAGACGGACTGCATACCGCACGGTAAGCCTCAAACCACGCCTTGCCGTTACCTGAATTGAATAATGCAGAAAGTTTATTGCAAGTTCCTTTCCGTAGGCTAATTGCAAGTACATGCACCATGGAGGGACAACAGTAAAGTACCGTGGCCGATAGGGACAATTTGCTCAACACACTGACTTTTGTCTTCTCCACACTGACTTTTGTCTTCCCCACACTGACTTTTGTCTTCCCCACACTGACTTTTGTCTTCCCCACACTGACTTTTGTCTTTCCTACACTGACTTTTGTCTTTCCTACACTGACTTTTGTCTTTCCTACACTGACTTTTGTCTTCCTTACACTGACTTTTGGCTTCCCTACACTGACTTTTGTCTTCCATACACTGACTTTTGGCTTCCCTACAGACAAAGTGTTGGGCAGAATTGTCCTTATCGGCCACGGTAGTAAAGGTGGGAATTAGTATGGTAACAATATAGTATGTGACTACTCTAATAACTAAACATTAAATTGTAACATACCGATACCGCTGGTCCAATGGTAGTCGTCTGGTACGGGTTTAGGGAAGCCAGCGTCAAGCAGAATCTTCAGGAGTGTGTAGTTGTTGTTGTGGGCTGCCAGCATCACAGGTGTCATGTAGCTGGGGAAAGCGCTGCTACCTGTCTGTGAAATCCAATCAGATGTCTTTAGTTTAGTTACTTGAGGGTGCAATGGCCAAGTGGGTAGAGTGCTCGCCTTGCATTCGGTACATGTAGGTCGTGAGTTCGATCCCCGGCCGAGTCATTCCAAAGACCTTAAATAATGGTACAGACTGCTTTTTCTGCTTAGCACTCAGCATTTGAGAAAGAGTATGGGAGTTAAACACACACTACTACCAGTGGACTAGCCCCCTGCTGTACTGACACAATTGTGTGGCCCAGGGCTCCAGAAACGGAGATGGGCAACGCCATAGGCAACCATGCTAATGAGGGTGCTAGTTTTAAAATCCGTAAATGTTGCAAAATGCTTTTGTAAGTACAGACGTCATGTGGATCATTTTTCGTACTTAAATGCTGATTGTTTTGCCATCAATGGTTCTAAAGAAAAGCTGCATGTCTCGGTATTTTGCTTGCCTACCATGGTGAACGCTACCCTCCAAGCAACTCTTTCAAGGCCATGGCACAGCAAATGCAAACGCTCCATTTAGATACCATCATACGTACACATCAATCATCATGTAACCATAGTAGACCAAGGACGTTTTATCAAACCGTCACATGGTATATCCCATATCACTCGTAAAGTAGTTACTGTAAACCTATGTAAAAGATCAGTGCAATTCAGTGGTCCTGTCAAGGGCTACTGCGATGCTTTAACTTGGAAAGTTTCAATAAACTGGTCATATCACTCGACGAACCCGCCCGATCGCGGGTCGAATATCGCAGAAGACGTTCAGCAATCGGGCGATTCGACCCGCGGTCAGGATGGGGCTGTTTGCGTTAGGGGATATGTTTGATGCCCCCCTCCCCCCTCCCCCAAAATGCAAATTTTAGTGGAAAAAGACCAAAGGTTGAGAAAAGTTTATCAATCAATTAGTAAAAATTCTTGCGCCCGATTCAAAGTTTCATGTCAGAAAGCTGTCACCTGGAATTAAGTACTTAAAGTAGTCAACAACCTTCGCCAGAATTTGTGGATGACCTGAAGGTCGAATTTCATTCGATCGCTGAGCCACTATCCTATGAATGTCATTACATTTCCTGTATTTTTTTAACGTTTACTAACCTCAGTATCCACGTTATACGTCTGATCTAATAGGTAATCTCTCCTGGATGCCTGTAGCAGTATCTGTACAGCTCTAATATCCTGTCTGTCCACTGCGTATAACAGAGCATCATCCATGGGTGCGCCGTGGTCTAGCAGAACCTCGGTCACTTCGTGTGATCCACTGTCCACTGCTAGCTCTAGGGCAGACCTTCCAAACTTGTCCCGAAGTTTTCCGACGTTGGGAAAAACGTCTGACGTAACGTTTACCTCTAGAAGGGCCACAGACACTTCTACTACGTCGTTATCGCGAACAAGATCCAGAAAACGTTCTTCCATGTTCTTGAGTGTTGACAAAGTGACGAGTACTGCAGTTACCTTCCAAACTCGTCCCGAAGTTTTCCGACGTTTAGACAAACGTACGAGGTAACGTCTACCTCTAGAAGGGCCACAGACACATCCACTACGTTGTTGTCGCGCACGAGACCCAGAAAACGTTCTTCCATGTTCTTGAGTGTTGGCGAAGTGACGAGTGCTACTAATGCAGTTACCGTGAACTGCAAATGCACAAAGCGGCATCGTCAACTTACACCGTCGGGAGTCATCCATGGTGTGACTCTGGCGTGAGAAAATGTGACCTCTGTCACCCTAACTAACTTCGTAAGTCGTGCTAACTTGTTGTCATTTGCTCATTGTTTCCGCCTTATAAACACCATTGTGCGGTTTGTATTGAGGCGTTACACTAAAGGGTTAATGCCCCGCCCCGATGTGTATATGGTGAAATAATTCCTGGTCATCAGGTGCAATAACCACCTAATAAACCACCAAGTGAGTGGAGCGAAGCGAAGCGGAGTGAAGTCTTTCGAAATAAACTACAACATGTTGTTAATAGATAAATACTAAAAGTCTTAACATTGCTGTTAGTACCCTGTCCCCTGTATGATGGTACGGTCCAAAAAGTGGTCGGTAACTCTAATAACCGACCACTTTTGAGGTTACGGCCTGATAACCAATGGCAAATGGAGCCTTCTGATTGGCCAACGCCTTTTGGCTATATAGTAATTCATTTTATCCCATATTTAATTAATCGGAACCAGAACGGATGTATTGTTTTGGGTTGTCCCTAATTATGCTAGGTGTGTATGTTTGGGTTCTGAAGTCAGGGGCAGAGATTTGGTTTCACTTGATAACGCTGGGGTCAAGGATGTGATGGCCAGGAATGTATGGAACATGAACAATTCTGTGTAACAAAGCAATTAGTTCAATCACATAATCGTACATCATGCAGGATTGATATTTTAATGTAAGTCATTAACGCAAGCTGTGTCTACTTCGTAAAAGTTTAAAATATCAGAATTTTTGTTGTTTTTTTTAATTAACGTGCAAGCTACGATCAGACAGATATTTGGCTAGAAGCATCGAGGTGTCTTGATGAAATACCCTTCATCTGTAAGTGTGTCTTTGTGGGGTCGTGTGGCGTAGCGGCAGCGTGCTCGACTCGGAACAAAGAGGTCCCGGGTTCGAGTCCTGACATGCCACCGATCTTGTGCCCTTGGGAAAGGCACTATACACGACTTTCCTCACTTAAAAGTGAAAATGTGTATTGTCTTGTCCTGTATTCGTCCTCTGCGTTGGTGGCGGCATAATATAAGTTGATATAACTTGAGTGTGCTATGTCTAATGTCGCTATGTCTAATTATGAAATGTTAGAATTAAGAAAAGGTGTGTCGTTTGAGTGAATGTAGTTTATCATCATGTATGGGTAAAGTACAATCAAATACAAAAATGAAAAAATTAATTTTTCCTTCACCATCTCTTTAATATTAAAGAATTGTATTGTCCTTATCTTCATACACAATCGCACCGATTGACAGCTAGCTTAATTTGCTTTGATACAGAGAAGCTTTATATACACGTATAATACACTAGAGAAATTTATTTTCTTCAATTTTCCATCATGGTAATTATAGTAGGTAGATTAATTGATGAAAATTGAAATGATGAGATGAACTAGGTGTAGTAATTGTTATTAACAATTTCTTATCTTTTGTATCATTCATTTGATTAGATCTAAGGTACTTGAGCATATATATCTTTGAAGTCATCCTGTGTAGCATAGTATACTTACTGTACATGTAATTCCGTTTGTTTAGTCAAGGGATTTTCAGTATTTGGTTAGAGTTTGGGGACACCTTGCGAGAGAAGGAAGAAGTGCATTCTTCTCAAAAGTTGTCCTCAGCAAATGTCTTGGTAGACTCCTCTTAAAATTCTTAGATACAGCAATGTACATAGGTCAAACGTAAGATCTTATTTACAATATAGTTACATTGTTTCATGACTATCTAGTTACACCAATACACAGTCTGCAATCGACAACCAATAACTGTCATTGGTAAACAACTGTCACGTGAGATGCCACGTGATCACCCAACCAATCAAACAAACAACAGGAACGTATCTGTCCTTGGTATCATATAATAGCTACCTTAATAAAGAGAAATTGTATATTTACAATAGAGGAAATTAATTACTTGAAAAGTCAGAAATTAAACATACATCATTCTGAAATATCCTTTGTTTAATAAGAGTACCACCCTACGCCACATTTTCATCTGCATTGTTCAAGCAAAAACAAAATTATCATAATGTTTGAATAGAGAATGTCGCACATACTAGCATAACCCCTCTTTATTGTGATTTGATTCAATTATATAATTTCATAAGTTCAGGACATACAATAATGTTGCAACAATAATGAACCATGAAGAAGCGATATGTGAAGTTATCAATAATATCATATTAAGTCTTATTCATTTGGATATAACGTTAGTAATGTGATTTTAACATTTGTAATGATATCGTGGCAATCATGGTACCAAACATTTTGCATTGATAAAGCATTAATGAATGGATAGTGGCCTAAACTTTTGAAGGAATAGCTTACAATTAAATGAGAACTGTCTGTCGGTCTGCATCGTCACTTCTGATGTTTTGTGTAGCTGGGGTAGAACAAAACGATGCTGTTCACGTTTAATTCATTCTAACAGTTGGCTAGAAGTGATATTCTTCGTCTTTGGCTGCGAACATTGTTGACTCCTCTTACTTTCAGCGTTATTCTTCGTGTTTTCCTGCTAACATTGTTCCTCTTACTATCAGCGTTATTTTACGCTTCATTTATTCTTGCTGCCATGCCCTGGAAGATCTTTGATACCTGTTACAGCAGGTATTTTCTTCAAGCCCTTTCTTGGTGACCATCATTACATTTCTGAGCAGACGCTAAAGAGGTCAAAGGTCAGCGCAGTGCCTCATGGGACAACATGGCGTGCCCTTGAAGGTACAGATGTACACACTACAGAACCGAGAGGTCATTACAGGAACTGGACACCAGTCTGTTTCTCCTCTTCTTCGGCAACATGGAGGTCAGCAGGTTCTTGGCTTTACCCAGAATCCCCTTGCTGCCCCGTCTCTCCGATGACGTCATCTTCTGCATGAGCTCGCTGTCGCGCTCCTCCACGTTGCTACGGAGACGGATCTGTCGGACCACGCCTTCGAACAGCTCGTCGATGTTGTGACGTATAGTTGTCGACGTCTCGATGAACTTACACTCCATGACCTTGGCGCATGCAATGCCCTCTGCAAAGAATATAGACCACACAGCGTTAACATGTAGCCTACCAAGGTAGCCTTTTGGCACCAATATGTATTGGTTATGGGGTTTTAGACCACACCGACTTAATTTTATGGATGATCTTCTGAAGACCCCCAAACTAGTGCGCGCGGGCGAATGAAAAAAATTCTGGCCAAAAATAAAAATGCTACTAAACCACAGGAATACAAATCTGGTATAGTGAATTTGCGGCAGTACATAGCAAAGTATACGACAAGCCGGCACATGCTGGCCTTTTGCGGAATTTATGAATCGGCACTGTGGGTATGTACTGAGTTCTTGAGTCGTGGAACTTCGGTAGCCTGGGTGCCATCCTCCAGAGGTACCACCGGCTCCGTATTGTCGCCAACTACCATGGACTACCCAGGCCTGGAGCCAGGCCAGAGCCTCGGAGGACATGCTACTTTTTCTAGAGAACAGGCGGCGAAAATTAATGTGCGCGTGGATGTCATCCATAAAATCAAGTCGTTTTGGCCTTAGTCATCAAGAAGGCCATCAAGTGTTTTGTACGGTATTTGTCTTCAACGATTTTTACACATAGTCTAACGTTTTAGGAAGTCATGTGTATAACAATTGATCTACTAGTTCAATATTTTCTAAGATGGGAACAATGAAAACTCATCGTAACAACAAGCACGTACTCAATTCTGCCGAAAGATTCCTCCGAGGTAGGACCTATCTCCTCACACAACCTCAGGGTGCAAATGTATTATTCAACGGTTCCTCTAGGGATATTCAAGAAGCGTAGAGGCCCAGGGCCCTTATTATCATATAAATGCAATCTTGGACGGTACATCAATAGTGGAAGATACTAGCACCATACATCCAACGCGGCAAGTCCCATATTTTGAGTCGTTCAAGTTGTTTCAAAAGGTTGATGTTTTGTTGGCTGCATGTATGGATTCATCATTATCATCATGGTTGTGGCATGTTGGTAGCTACTAAGGCGGGCGGTCATTATTCTTTATTGTCTCTGTTGATTAATGCACTGAAATACCAAGGAGGTTAAATACCAAGTACTTTGGAAATATCAAGGTTGAAGTATTCTTGAGGCCAAAAATGTATACGTATGGCATTTGCATACTCCTATTACGAAGCACAGCATTGATAAAATATGTTAGCACAGGAAAATCAAAATCATCTTTAATACATGATTCATGAATAAGAGTTTGTCAAAGTAGATCATTCCATGAGAGCCTCAAAAAGGTCTTACGTCAACAACATAACTGTATTTTTTGTCAAGATCTCACAAAAGCCCAAAGAAAACATAGCATGCTATGGTATATAGAGTTAGCTTAGATGTCAACCTATTCTTTTGACACATAGAAAATAGATTGCGAAAGTGCGTATGGCTCACCTTATGAGTCTGGAAAGAGCTTTTTGTTAATGATGTTACTTTATTTTTTTTCAATTCAATTTTTTATCAAAATACCAAACATAGCAGACAAACATGGCATACAATGTTGCCTGAATGGCGTTGATATTTACATGTATACAAAATGTCAAATATCATATATTTACAAAAACTATAAAAACAGTACAGTAAGTGTACAACCCAGATATTTAGAAACTACATTATCTTGTGCCAGACTCTATCTGTGCAGTCTGGTATAGAGTCTGGTTGACTGGTGAAGAAAAGAGTTCTGTAGTCGTTTTGTTCTGGCGGGGGGATAGTGAGATGTTATAGGTTTCTCTACTTGTTACAAAGCCTCACCTTTCTTCTTGACCTCTCGCGATCTTTCTAAATCTCGTTTGTTGCCGACCAGGATGACGGGAATGTCGTGGAGAGGTCTGCTCCTCCTCAGCTTGATGAGGAGTTTGGACGCCGTCTTGAAACTCTCTCTGTCGTTGATGGCGTAAACTATCAGGTAGGCGTCCCCCTTCGGGATGTACTGGTCTCTTCTTCGGACATAGTTCTGAAGATTAGAATACAATGAATGATAATATACTTTTAACTTTGTGATAAAGAAATGTTTTCTTTTCAGAAGCTTTTGCTAATGCCGTATCAAAAATGCTTGACACCATGCCATTTGTAAAACTAGAGTGCCACGATCTCATACCTTCGCCAAATGATGTTAGCCTTTATGACTAAGAAATTATAGATTAATCCCCATGAATGTGCAAATTGCAGAAATTATATCTGTTGATCATTTTCTACACCAAAAGGCAGTCTTATCGTAACAAAGAATGCCATTCTAGCATTTCCTCATAAATTATGCAAATGACGTCCTTATTTGAATATGTTATGTTTAATGATGTTCACCTGCACTTAACTTTCAAATATACCAAGTATAAAATTCCAGGCAGTTACCACTATGGTGGTAATAATGATACTGGTGGATATATATCCTTCTTATAAATGCTTCCTATCGAAATTTCAGTATATTTTCATTTGTTAATATCCTCTTCAAAAATCACAAGACAAATAGAGATCTTCATTTTGTATATGTTTTTTCGCTTAAAATAGCGCTCACCAATCAATAGTGTAATTGATTAGAAGGCAGAAAGGGAATTAATTACATACCATTAGGACTATGATTACAACCAAAGTAATGTAATATTATTGGCGCTGTAGTTTACCATCTGTTAAGAATTAGGAAAAATTACCCCAAACGACATTTGATTTTTTACATTTTTACTGTATATGTCATTCGTATTAATTTTTCCATGATATTTCTTCATACATCCGAGACTCAGGCACGTTTTTGAAGGTCATATCACAACATTACATTTCTATCCATTTAACGGATCACTGATATGGGGTATGTTTCATATTACGTTTCTCGTTTCAGTTTTGGGTTTCATCACATCAGCAATCGTAAACTAAGATTACCTCAGGCACAGTGGGTCACTTTACATTACCCAAATTTCTCGAATGGATAGGTTCTCCATGAATTTTAACAGTAAAAGTTTCTACTGGACTTTGTCGAATTTCTTGGGATAAAACCTGGTGAGAATTCTGTGATACGTTTCTTATACGTATATGTCTGTATTACTTAATTTCTAAACCCATCGTTAAAGCATTAAGACAAATTACTTTTAGTATATTACCCAAATTTCTCGAATGGATAGGTTCTCAATGAATTTCACAGTAAAAGTTTCAACTCCACTTTGTTGAATTTCATGGGATACAACCTAGTGAGAATTTCTTTGATACGTTTCATACGCGTATGTCTATATTACTTGCTTCATTTCTAAATTCATCGTTAAAGCATTAAGACAAATTACTTTTAGTACATTATCCAAATTTCTCGAATGGCCTAGGTTCTCAATGAATTTCACAGTAAAAGTTTCAACTTCACTTTGTCGAATTTCTTGGGATAAAACCTAGTGAGAATTTCTGTGATACGTTTCTTATGCGTATGTCTAAATTCATTCTTGATAAAGACTGAATTAAAGTCGAAACCGGTCGAATACCGTCTCTAGTCTGTCATCTTCCCATCGCTACGAATGATGTCTAAATTCATTCTAAACTCATCGTTAAAGCAAATTACTTGGAGTAACCATCTGATAATCATTAAAAGAGCCCAATTCGTGCGTACCTCGCAAAAGTTTGACGATGGACTAATCGCATATAAAAACAAATGAATGGAGGTTACGATTCCCATCACTGATTTAACGAGAACTCATTTCTGTTATAGTAGCAGACTGCTATAATTGTGTCTGGAAGGGGAATATGGACTTGCTAGTAGTATTTGCGAATTAGGCCACAGAAAGTAAATTTTATGGATGACATCCTCCGCAGACTCCAAATCTAATGCGAGTGGGAAAAAAAACAAGGCGGATCGAAAAAAAACAAGGTTCCTAAATTTAAAAATTTTGACTCAACCATAGTACAAATGGTTTTGATTCAGTGAGAACATCACATATACACAGCCAACATCACATATCACTGCATCAGAGTTCAAAACATTAAATCAGAGCCTTTTCTTGTCTCATCTCTTTATGATTATCTGCCATCCACCTTCCGGCATAGCAACAGTCATCTTTGCCCATTTTCGGCATGTTGACCACTGTCAGAAGGCAACAAAATTTCTTGTTTTTCTCTCCAAAATCAGGCGAAAATTAATGCGCGCGCTGATGTTAAATTACTTGCTGTGGCCTTGCACAGAGAATCGCCACTGTGTAATTCGCGAATATTACTAGTAAGTCTGTATTTGCCTCCCAGACATTTCGCATAGGACCGTAAACCTTTTTTGTAGATGACGAATTGAAGCTTTCAAATCTTTGGACCCTCCAGTACCAGGCTTATCTATGTTTGAAAGGCAAATTACTTTTGTTTGAAATACTATCGAGTATATATACAGGTACAGGGCTACACTCCGCATAGGAAAGTAAACTTTTTTTGTAGATGAATAATCAAAGCTTTCAATAGTTTTAATATTCTACAGTCCTGGTGTTACTGAACATGTAGACATCTGGTCGTACTTTGGGACATTTTTTTGTAGATGAATGATTTAAAGCTTTCAATATTTTCTATACCCTACAGTCCTGGTGTTACTGAACAAGTAGACATCTGGTCGTGCTTTGGGACATTTTTTTGTAGATGAATGATTAGAATTCAATGCTTTCAATAATTTCTATACCCTACAGCCCTGGTGTTACTGAACATGTAGATATCTGGTCGTGCTTTGGGACATTTTTTGTAGATGAATGATTAGAATTTAAAGCTTTCAATAGTTTCTATACCCTACAGCCCTGGTGTTACTGAACAAGTAGACATCTGGTCGTGCTTTGGGACATTTTTTTGTAGATGAATGTTTAGAATTTAAAGCTTTCAATAGTTTCTGTACCCTACAGTCCTGGTGTTACTGAACAAGTAGACATCTGGTCGTGCTTTGGAACATTTTTGTAGATGAATGATTAAAATTTAAAGCTTTCAATAGTTTCTATACCCTACAGTCCTGGTGTTACTGAACATGTAGACATCTGGTCGTGCTTTGGGACATTTTTTGTAGATGAATGATTTAAAGCTTTCAATAGTTTCTATACCCTACAGCCGTGGCGTTACTGAACATGTAGACATCTTATCGTGCTTTGGGGCTCCTCGTCTCCAGGGCCGGAAAATTCTCCAGTCGTTAAGAAAGGCGCTGATTTGTAGACATGATAAGAGTCCCGAGGGGAAGCATTGATGGATGTTTGGGCCTTTAGGCTATCATTTGGATAAACCTGCTATGGATGAGAATGTAGGGCGAGCCATTTGGGTTGTACATACCTAATGACAAACTAGTAATTCAATTAGTAAGAGACGTATATTTTTTGAATCTTTGAGTCAGGAACTTCTGAGTACATTTTATACTTCACAATGATTTACTCCCACTCATTTGCGCATTGACTACTGTATTATTATATTCCCAAGTCATCGGCTAAGATACAAATAGGAGGAAAGGTTTAGGAACTACATTTTTGGCGACGCCTCAGGGGGGGGGGGTATGGTACAGTATTGTGTGCAGTTTGCAAGAATTCTAGGAATTGTACAGGATTTTATCCAAAGGCATGAATTGTCCACAAGAATGTCTCACAGCTCTGGAATTTTTGTCAATGTCAGTCTTGTTTTTTTAATATGATTCCAATAATTTATTAATGTATCGCGAAGTACATGTCAAAGTATTTGGATTTGTGAAAGACGAAGTGAACAATGATGAAAGGATTACATAAATTATCATGAACGATGTTGGTAGAGGAAGATTAAGAGAAGGGAGAAAGTTTCACCGAAAAAAACTCTTACCTCGTTTTCTTCGCCATTCTTCTCCTTATGCTTATCCTCAACGGTTAGCTTAGTGGTAAAAAGGGTTTCGAAAAAGTTACTGGCATATCAGTAGTATCCTTACTTGACCAAATTTGGCATCAAGCCATTGAATAAAATCCATGATTGTAAATGTTCGTGTTTAAAAAAAAGACGATAGCCTATTTCTTGAAAAAAGTGGTATTAAGCAATTGAGATGACACGTTTCTACTACAGTTATTAGGATTACTCTAGGTTTGCAAAATGCCGTTTTCATTGCTTTGATGTAACATACCCTAATATGAATTGTATCAACCATAAACAACTAGCAACAGACACCCGGCAGCTACCCATATCACACCAGTAGCTGTCGTTACCCTGCTTAGACGTCTAATTCTATCATTCGTCATCCAACATTCATTGGTTAATAATTAATGAGGTTAACGCTATTTTCCATTATGTACAACCAGCCGTCTGGAAATGGCGTAGCCTCCAAAAACGACGGTGTAACATGTCTTGAGCTATTGTCAGTCAAACAATACGTGTCACCTTTAATTATAACAGCCATAGAGTGTGCAAAATGAAGGTAGGATATGACAAAACATCTGTGTGCTGTCTCATTTAATGCATATTTATGTGTACCTTACACCATTGCCTATGAGGCTTCATTGCATTACAAAGAACGTACAATTTGATATTTTCATGCCATGATTTGTCTATATCATACGAATACTTTCGATTGTCTGTTATGATTCGGTCGCAAAATCGCCGTCATAACAATATTGTCTCCGCTTGCTAATGAAATTAAGAGTATTCAAAAAGAACGTCACGCGATATATAACGTTAAGTGACACCTGACGTAGACCATCTGTGTAAGCACCAATCAAATTCAATAAGAAGAAAAAGAGTTTGATGAAAAATATTTAAAATTGCGCCGTTCCCTATTAATTATTATGAATCATTTACCATTGGCATTACAGAGGTCAGAAATACCAATTTATTTTTTCATAATCTCTATATCATAACGACATTTTTGTTTACTGTCTCATCCCCTAGTCTTGTTTTTTTCTGGTTGTTGAATTTAGAAGGGTTTCTTTTAATTTATACAAAAGTTGCAAGTTACAGATAAAATGGCTTTATTCACCTCCAATTCTTCGTCTTCACACAACCGCTGACAGAGCTGCCCAAAACGTGCGAGGAAAGCAGCATGTAATATTAAGCCATCTAAAGCATCTACATAGGCACGATCTATACATCTACACATAATGGCATCTATATATATTAGTACATGATCTACACATCAGCACATGATGGCATCTGCACATGCATTAATCTACATATCTACACATGATGATATCTAGGCACGCTCTACACAATGTCATCTACGCATGGTGGATGACATCTACACATGCACGATCTACACATCAACACATGGTGACATCTACATGCCATGTGTACATGTAGATGTCATCATGTGTTGATGCCATCCATCTTGCGTAGATGACATTGTGTAGAGCATGTCTACATGTACACATGTACGGTCTACGTACATAATCCACTGTGAAAATTACCTTTGAAAGAAGACTACACATGCACTAAATCATTATATTACCGTTATTAGCTCACAGTGACTTAGTATACATTTTCCATGGCGATTTTGCATTAGCCAGGTAAAGCAGTGAGTGCATTACTAAAAGCCAGCTCCTGAAGGTGAATTTACTATAAGAGAAGCCATATAAAAGCACGGGATTTTAGGATTTTAGCAAAGATACTCACGTGGCCAGAAGTGTCCGTTAGATGGAGAGTGGTTTCCATCCCGTCCACGCTGAACGTTCTCTCGTTCATATCGACTGGAAAGTAGACATCAACACTTCAATTAGTCTTGAGTGGGTACAGAAAGGGGGAATGGCATTTATTTGCATTTGCCGCATTTGTAGAAGGATTGACATAACATGTGACTACCACCTTTTCAGGATGACACATTGGAGATCAGACTGTAATCACTGTGGAAAGAGTCCTTATTCTTTTTGATAAGTGCAGTGGGTTCTTGAAAGTGCTCGACGTGTGGCCCTCCTAAAACACTAAACCGCCAGCTTCAAGCCTTATCCGAGAGGACATATCGCCAACCAAAGCTGGGTATTTATTTGAGTCGAGTGTGGATTTTGTGTGAGGATGTGTTAAGTGCCTTTCAGAGGGGGTTAGCTAGGCCAGGGATTAGAACCCAGAACCTTCAGATTCTGAGTCCTGACCACCTAGCTCTTGGGTTGATGTGGACATATTGCTTTCACGTTATGAGAACCCATCGATATCATGAGGCAGCTTCGTATGCCCTGTCCAGTTAGAGTTTATTGAGGAAAAACTCTCCTTTAGCTGCCCTTCCAGGAGAGAGTACATAAAACATAACAATACATCAACATACAATTACATTTACATTACATAGTTATTTAAAAGAAACAAATGTGTAACAACATCGTATGTGCTTTACATATTCATGTCCCTCATGTGCCTTGTTTGAACTTCTCATGTGATGACACTGTTTGCAACCCATGTGGTAGAGAGTTCCATGCTGCAGTATTTCTGTATGTGAAGGCTTTCTAGTGCTGTTTGTTTTTGGTTTGTGTAGTTTGAAGGTGTTCCGAGTAGCTTATCTGGTTCTGTAAGTGTGTTGATGTGACACCGGGCACAGTTTCCAGGGCCCACTTCTCATTACCACGCCTCTTTTGTATGATAAGCAATATATATGAAAACACTTAATGAAAAAATTATCCCCTTCACTGCGCTGAACATATAGCTGAAATACGTCCTCTATATACAAGGACACCGTGTTTATATCCTACTAATCCATATCCAAAATCCAGTCAAATAATCTACTTCTCGTAGTTATTTGAGGAAACTTCTCAGCAAATATCTGAGTCCATAATTCAATGACAATCGAACGTTATCTGTTAATATTTCATACAATTGTGAACATAAAGAAGATTTTCGATGGTGATTCACTTCCTGCATAATTCGATATCGACTAGGTTACAGCGTTAATTACAGGAATCACAAAATCGATTCCACGTGATAATGAGATTTTGATGTAGGCTCCGGTTCAGATGATGTGATTGGTCGATGTGTGTAATGAACCTGATGATGTGAGGGACATGGTTCCGGGAATTGAATGACCCGATGCCCTGCTTTTCCAATTCCAGGAACTCGTTAAAGCTGCAGATGACCAGGAACCTATTGGCATCATTAGTGAAGTTCAGAATGTCATAATTGGATTAAAGATTAATGAAGAAGTATACATTCATATTTTGTAGAGGGAAATCTGATCCAATGCTAGACTGTAGACTGCTAGGATCACTACTTCTTCTCTAACTTCAAATGAATTTTATGGTGTATGGACTTTCGAAACCATTGTTTGATAGCTTGTCTCACACTGTACACTTCTTCATCACGTAAATGTCAATGATGTCAATGTTCAGTTCCTCCAGAAGGTCTCCCGTGCTCTTATGCCGAGTGTAGGCCTAGGGTGGTGCCCATCTACATTTCGTAGATCTTCGATGACACACAGTTGTCCAAGGCACTACAACAAGGGGCTAGTCCGCTGGTAGTGCTGTGTGTTTGACCTTCCCACACTCTTTCTTATATGTGCTAAGTGCTAAGGAGAGAAAGAAGTGTGTACCATTTTTAAAGTCTTTGGTATTACCCGGCCGGGGTTTGAACTCACGACCTCCTGGTTACTCTACCAATTTGAGCTATTGCATTGTTCGTCCAGAGTGGTATGTATTCATGACTGAATAGAAAGTCATCTGTGTAATGTTTCTGTCATAATTTTTGATCGAACTTGAGATACTCATTCATGGAATATTACTGATAAAAATGGCTGAGTATGACTCATGATGGCCCTGCTGAAGTAGTCTTTGGGGTACAAAGTTGTATTGGTTGCAGGGTTAGGCAGCAGAGACATGGTTAATGATGACTGGTTTATTGATTAAAACATTTTGCAGCCCGGATACTGAATTGCATGTTTCATTTCATCAGTGCCCACCTTAAAAACATCATTATGATAAAAATATCATTCTATCTAGGATTGAGTTGCGATCTTTCTATAAATATACGATAAAAGACATTATACATTATATACATGATAAAAGACATGATACATTAATTGTTTTACTGTATAGGGCAAGGGGCTCTTGGAATAGCGCTTCGTACGTGCTAGAATAGGGTCGAATTTGTTTTTTTTTTTGCCTTGTGGACCTCCCTGTTACTTCGCCTCTTGTCTTAGGGAGCCAGTGGTGATAGAGAGTTGATTTGCACAGTTTTCCCGAACTCTCGGCACAAGTTTTCACGTCTTAAAACACCCACAGGCAGTCCTGTCCGCCTAATGAAGCCATCAGAGAACAGCTGCATTGCCTCGAGGTACTTTTTGAAGTATCGGCTGCATCGAGTATAATATTGCTCACGGTCATAATCACCTTGTAGGAACCATTTCAGTTCGACATTAAAGTTGATTAATGGACATACAAGGTTTGAGCTCGAAGGGAAATACATGACTTTTGTCGAATAGGAAGGTGTAATTATTATTCAGGGACGGGTATTTCCGCTAGGCTGTTGAAAAATTAAGCCATTAAAGTCATTATGACTAATGCCTGGGACGATATTGCACGTTCCGGAATGGGCAGAGTGATGTGTCATGTTGACATGTGTGTGCCGTGAATTAGGCCACATCGACTTAATTTTATGGATGACATCCGCGCGCGCATTGATTTTCGCCTGTTCTCAACAAAAAAATCACGTCCTCCGAGGCTCTGGCCTGGCTCTAGGCCTGGGTAGTCTATGGTAGTTAGCGACAATACGGAGCCGGTGGTAACTCTGGAGGACGGCACCCAGGCTACCGAAGCTCCACGACTCAAGACCTCAGGACATACGTACAGTGCCGATTTATAAATGCCGCAAAAAGCCAGCGTGTGCACATGCCGGCTCGTCGTATACATACATAGCTATTTACTGCCGCAAATTCACAATACCCGCTCTGTATTCCTGTGTTTTATATTAGTAGCATTTTATTTTGGTCGGATTTTTGTATTCGTCTACACGCGCACTAGTTTGGGGGTCTTCATAGGATGTCATCCATAAAATTAAGTCGGTGTGGCCTTACCACTGTAGGCAGTGGCGAACGAAAACCCAGCACCACTAAGTACTTATCCCAGCACTGATCACTCCCACGGGGCGTTAAAAGCAGTAAAATGTGTGTTAAATATCCATCGCCCTGGATCTGGGTTACTCCGGAAGAGCCTTTTAGCCGAGGTCACCAAAAGGCCTCCGAGATGTAAACGAGATTTGGAATAAAGCCAATCTCAAATCAACAATTGGAACTACAACATGTCGAGTACAAAAACAATTTTTCGACTTTGAATACTCAGAAAAATGATGTAGGAATAGTTGATGGCAATTGATTTTGCCGATCGACTAAAAAAATATTCTTGCCAGGTCGATTCATTGGGAAATATCCTGAATTACTATCTCAAATCAACAATTGGAACTACCTACAACATGTTGAGTACAAAAACTAATTTTCGACATTTAATACTCAGAAAAATGATGTAGGAATGGTCCGAGAAAATTGTTTTTTGGCGATCGACTCAAAATAGATTCTTGCCAGGTCGATTCGTTGGGAAATATTATGAATTACTATCTCAAATCAACAATTGGAACTACAGCATGTTGAGTACAAAAACTAATTTTCGACTTTGAATACTCAACAAAACGATGTAGGAATTGTTGGAGAAATTGCTTTTGGACTCAAAATAGATTCTTGCCAGGTCGATTAATTGGGAAATATACTGAAATACTATGTAATGATAAATCATGGGTACAAAATTGTGTGTGTTCATGTTCTTATTTGAATCAATCAATTGTTCAAGCATTAAAAGGGAAACATAAACATGTTGTTTCGTATGTCAGATTCATCAGTATTGTTTTTGGCGCGTCTGTGTGTGCATGTGTCTGTCTGTGTGTTTGTGTTTCCGCACATTTCTAGTCAGCATAACTTCAGAAAGCTTTTATGGATTGTGATGATATTAAGTATGTTGGTAAGTCTTAGGAAGACAAGGGTCAAGGTCATATATGTGCCTCCTGGTAGATGACCTTGGTACTGCAGCAGAACTTCCGGTTTTGTATCTTTTGTCCTGAACATGCTATGGTCTTGACTTTTTGGTGACAGATAGCTTTCCCTGTCAGGAATAAGTGGTGTGAGTTTGGTCTCCCTAGCAGCTTATTGTTTATTGAGCTTTAGTCGAAAAAAAACTTTTGATATACTTACGCATCATAGAGTCATCCTCGTCTATGAACTCTCGAATAATCTCAGTGGTGCAAAACTCTATTCTTAGCGAGGTTTTCCCAACTGCTGCCGACCCCATGACTACAACTCTGTACTCCGGAACAGACTTTCCCAGCAGGTCATCCATGGACGACACTGATTGGTCAGTCCACCACTCGTCCCCATCGTCGTCGTCATCGAATATGGAATCATGGGTATTTTCGGAGATTCGAATTTGTGGCACGACGGGAAGGCTGTGACGTTTCAGGGCGAGTCTGTCCTCGGGGATCCCCAGGAGACAGGTGTGGCGTCGGTCGACGGGCTCGTCGAAAAAATGGACGCCCTTTTCCGCCATCTTGGAAGTAGGAGAGGAGTTGTTGTGACGTCACCAGGGTTGTTCTGTACTCTTCCTTTATCGGTGCAGTGGAGTCAGTAGTTTTGTATTTCCTTCCCTTGAATTATCTGCTCAAAATATAAAAAAAGAAGATTAGCAAAACCATATCCAGTCTCAAGATTAACAAAATTAATTATACAGAATCGTGGTCGTGTAGCGTAGCGGCAGAGTGCTCGACATGGAACCAAGAGGTCCCGGACTCGAGTCCTGACATACCACCGATCTTGTGCCCTTGGGAAAGGCACTTTACACGACTTTGAAATTTCTCAAGTGAAAATTAGTATTGTCCTAACCTGTATTCGTCCTCTGCGTTGGTTGCGGCATAAAATAACTTGATATAACTTGAGTATGCTGTAACCATGTCTAGTCATGAAATGTTGGAATGAAAAAAAATTAATTATACAGAAACAGGAAAGAGGATACAACATCAGACAGCAAAATCCTGGTTCTTAATGAATTCTAACAACACAGCCGGGTTTTCAAAGTAAAGTGAATTATGGTTAGATATTATATACTATGACATATCAATTTGTCATATTGACTTACCAATAACATGACATGACAATCCTCACGTAGACCATTATGGCTATTGATTACTTATTGGACCTCATGATGAGATGCTGATTTAACCGCTTTAGTGAACAAAGACTGACCCTGTAAAATATTCAACACTCTTATTAACATCTAGGCCATCAACATTAATGAAGTACCCTTTTACATCAGTTCACCCGGAATGATGTTAGGGCCACAGCAAGTTGATTTTATGGATGACATCCTCCGCAGACTCCAAATCTAATACGAGCGGGCGAGAAAAAACAAGGTGGACCGAAAAAAACAAGGTTCCTGCACTTTAAAATTTTGACTCAATCATTGTACAAATGGTTTTGATTCAGTGGGATCATTGCATATACACAGCCAGCATCACATATCACTGCATCAAAGTAAGAAACAAAACATTAAATCAGAGCCTTTTCTTGTCTCCTCTCTTCATAGTTATCTGCCATCCACCTTCCGGAATGGCAACAGACATCTTTGCCCATTTACGACATGTTGAGCACTGTCAGAAGGCAACAAAATTTCTTGTTTTTTTTTTTAAATCAGGCGAAAATTAATGCGCGCGTTGATGTCATCCATAAAAATTACTTGCTGTGGCCTAACCGTGAAATGTAATACTTCTGTCGTTACTGCTGATTTCACCGCGTTGACATTGTCGGTCACCCAGAAAAAACAACCGGTGGTCACCCAGACAAAAACAACCGATGCGATATATTGTATATTCAAAATTGTCGTTAACCCATAACAAAAATATAACGCTGCTATATGTTGTGTATATGAAATTAGTTCACCCTGAAAAAGAAACATCCGTTGCTACGTGGCGTGTATATAATAGGGTCTAGAAGATACCCGCATTTTTGGAACTGACATAGCATGTAATGTACTATAAATGCCAATTGTTATTGAAAATAGCCATACCTCACAGTGTGTGCACCATTAAGCCCCTGCCGAAATGGATTAGCCTCAGCAATGACATACAATATATAATTATGTGGCCTTGTAAAATGTTACATTGAACGTAATCACATAGTATAACCTACAAAGTGCCCACTCTCTGTGCCAAAAACACAAGTAGCACAGCTGAATACAACGATAAAAGCTGGAGTTTGGCTAACACACGGAAATAATAATCTCCAAGCAGATCCCTTTCGGTGGCAAGGCAGTATCCATTTGCCAGAGAAAGTCGCCGGCCACCGTTAGTGGGGGTAGCGACAAACAAAAACGGCCATATATAAAAATCTAACGATCATTCCCCTACAACCTCTGCTTGGAGAGAACGGAGGGAGTGCACGTGCCCTCTGGTAGGCATCTTTTGCCCGGTATCCTTTTCCCATTAAGTCTCGGCCGTAGCCCTATCTAGTACCAATTGCCCAACCCTATACCTGTCCAATATGTATATATTTTTTAACAGAGAAAAACGAATAGAAAGGATACAACGCTACAGCCACATGCACCAAACGTAACAAATTATCTTCCAATATACTAGTAGGTACTTCTAAAGGAGACTGCATAGTCTAAAACACTATCGCAGAAAAAGAGATACGTGTAAAAGTCTAGACGTAAACACATACCAAAAACAGTGCTGCTTGCTTGCACACAGATCCTTTGACAGTAGAACTGAATAATACCAAGACTCAGTCCCTGTGCTAGCCAGTAGCCCCACAAACGGGAACTAGCACACAAGGTCTGGTTGGTCCTCACCAGAACCGGGCGCAAGGCATGCTGGGTCAATCCACACGTACAGCATATAACACAAAGTAAATTTGACACGTGTTTTTATCGGAGAACAGTCCTTGGAGATTCATGAATTATGCATGAGTTATGGATTATTATCAGGAATGACACTCGTGAGAGACAGAAATGGGTGATTAGGAATGCATGACAGCATGTCTTTGTTGTGACGATAAATTGAACGACATCACATCATGCACATGCTTTGTTGAGCTACATTGGTGCTGTGACGATGTGTTTGCACGTAAGGTTTTCTCTCAGATAACATTTTCTCAGTTGTCACAGAGTTGGTATTTCATGAATACAAAACCCCCGAAATGTGGATCTATCCCATTTTTTACTCGTCCTTTTGGTATACGTGGTGTTGATGTTAAGCGAAGGAAATCATTATTTTTGCTACATTTCCTCTTCTTCTTCTTCCGTCCCAAACACTGACTTCTGATCTGGCTAATGACCTGATTTGTTGACGCCTGTCACCATGGTAACTGGTGTTGGGTTACATTGGTTACATGATGTTGCAATTTTATCAGCAGGAGGGATTTATACTCCTGTGTGTAGTTGAGTAAGAATTAATAGAGCAGACCATATGCGAAGCGAAGGTAAACATTATGCATTTGCTTTGCAAATGTTACCTTTCTAGTTTGGTATTTGTATTTTGTCGTATTGGTATACTTACAATGGTACATTATATACAAAGGCGGCAAGGTCATTCGAGTGTATGGGATGTTAGTGATGAATTAGTGCTACACCCCTTCCCAATTCTCTTTCTGCCAGTATGCATCGTAACTGTGCAACTGTAAATCCTTCAATAATATTACCATATCGTATTTTGTCGTATTGGTATACTTACTACGGTACACTGTATACAAAGGCTGCAAGGTCATTCGAGTGTATGGAATAGCGTTAGTAATGAATTAGTGCTACATCCCTTCCCAATTCTCTTTCTGCCAGTATAACTGTGTAACTGTAAATCCTTCGATAATAATGATCGTAATCCCATCAGGATTTATGAACTGCCTAGTCCCGTTTCATTAGTCCCCACTGCCCGTCTAGTAGTCTGGAAATCCACATCGTAACTTCAAAGGAAAGTTCCCACTTGTAATGTAGGTTTAGGCCACAGCAAGTAAATTTTATGGATGACGTCCTCCGCAGACTCCAAATCTAATGTGAGCGACCGAAAAAAAACAAGGCGGGCCGAAAAACACAAGGTTCCTACGTTACAATTTTGACTCAATCGTTGTACAAATGGTTTTGATTCAGTTGGAACATCACATATACACAGCCAGCATCACATATCACTGCATCAAAATAAGAAACCAAACATTAAATCAGAGCCTTTTCTTGTCTCCTCTCTTTATAGTTATCTGCCATCCACCTTCCGGCATGGCAACAGACATCTTTGCCCATTTTCGGCATGTTGACCACTGTCAGAAGGCAACAAAATTTTTTTTTCAAAATCAGGCGAAAATTACTGCGCGCGCTGATGTCATCCATAAAAATTACTTGATGTGGCCTTACCTACACGGCTTGACTACATGATCACACACAGATCTCAACATATTCCCTGATACATGTAGCGGCACTGGCAGCTAGTGACCTCCGGCCATTGTGTAGTCAGAGATCGTCCTTGAAGTGTATCTGCCTTTTTCACGGTTAGTCGAGTGGAAAGTGGCAATATATATAGGCAGCAACATCCCCACTGGATGTACCTTCAAGTGTAGCTTGGCACGGTTGGGATTTTACCGTATCATATATAATATAGGTTCATATTTTCGTTGTTTCATATTGATTATATATGATATAAAGGTTAAAATCCATCCAACACCTTTTGATATATAGGGTAGTACCATCTCCATTTTGTGGATGTACCTTCAAGTGTAGGTTGGCACAGTTAGGATTTTACTGTAATAATAGTTTCATATTTCAGTTTCATATTTTGCTTTTACATATATTGATTGTATATGATATAAAGATTAAAATCAATCCAACACCAAATATGACATATAGGGCAGTACCATCTATATTTTCATTGCCCTTGGGACACAGATTGCTAGTCTTCAGGGGTCTCGTTGAAAGTACATCTGCAAAGCCCTAAAACACATTTAGTATAGATTCTACAATTATACATAGCAGGCATATGTCGTGTAATATTCAATTTGTTACATACGTGACAGATCGTGTCCTTACATTACATTTTCATGCATATTTGATGACCGTGCCATGACCTATTAGCCTGTGTGTTGTCATCAATAGCTTGATTAACGTCCCGGTAGTGATAGATATACAACACATGGCCATGTGTAAACGGCAAAAATTCAAACTACAACGGTTGTTGCCAGAGTGCACATACTTCTTGGAGACCCATGGGGATATATGTTTAACGTTTAGTGTCTCCAATAGAAAGTATATTATACACTGTGTCTGTAATGCTAGTTTTTAACAATGTGTCTATTGGGTCTCATTCATCTCAGTCATGAATTTGTCACTATTCATTCCTGGTTAGTATTGTATTAGGTTGCTACTTCACTACTGAATTCTACAACTTTTTCGACATGGCTGCCCCCAATCCGTGTAAGCCTGCATGGCAGGAATCTTAGCTTAAAAAATAATGTAACACAATTCAAATGTGGAACTGAGAGGTATCGCAAGACTACACTGCCTTTCCTGGTTGATCTACTTAAGGTACATGGTATTACCATGATTAACTGCTAGATTAATGTATTTATATGTTTTAACACATTAACGAAATG